GTGGACACACGCCCGTGTAGCAGGACTAACGGTACACATGCAGTTTTGGTATTAGGACACACGCCAGTGCAGCAGGACTAACGGCACATGCAGTTTGGGTATGAGGACACAAGCCCGTGCAGCAGGACTAACAGTACGTGCAGTCGGTGTATGAGGACACACGCCCGTGCATCAGGACTAACGGAAACTTGCACTCGGGGTATGAGAACACACGCCAGTGCAGCAGGACTAACGGTACTTGCAGTCCGGGTATGAGGACACACGCCCGTGCAGCAGGACTAACGGTTCTTGCAGTCCGGGTATGAGGACACACGCCAGTGCAGCAGGACTGCCGGTACCTGCAGTCGTGGTATAAGGACACACGCCCGTGCAGGAGGACTAACGGTATACATGCAGTTTGGGTATAAGGACACACGCCAGTGCAGCAGGACTAACAGTACCTGCAGTCGTGGTATGAGGACACACGCCCGTGCAGGAGGACTAACGGTATACATGCAGTTTGGGTATGAGAACACACGCCAGTGCAGCAGGACTAACGGTACTTTCAGTTTTGGGTATGAGAACACACGCCCGTGCAGCAGGACTAACGGTAGTTGCAGTTTTGGGTATGAGGACACACGCCAGTGCATCAGGACTAACGGTAGTTGCAGTTTTGGGTATGAGGACACACGCCAGTGCATCAGGACTAACGGTAGTTGCAGTCGGGGTATGAGGACACATGCCCGTGCATCAGGACTAACGGTAGTTGCAGTTTTGGGTATGAGGACACACGCCAGTGCATCAGGACTAACGGTACATGCAGTCGGGGTATGAGGACACACGCCCGTGCAGCAGGACTAACGGTAGTTGCAGTTTTGGGTATGAGGACACACGCCAGTGCATCAGGACTAACGGTAGTTGCAGTTTTGGGTATGAGGACACACGCCAGTGCATCAGGACTAACGGTAGTTGCAGTCGGGGTATGAGGACACATGCCCGTGCATCAGGACTAACGGTAGTTGCAGTTTTGGGTATGAGGACACACGCCAGTGCATCAGGACTAATGGTACATGCAGTCGGGGTATGAGGACACACGCCAGTGCATCAGGACTAATGGTACATGCAGTCGGGGTATGAGGACAAACGCCCGTGCAGCAGGACTAACGGTACTTGCAGTCGGGGTATGAGGACAAACGCCAGTGCATCAGGACTAACGGTAGTTGCAGTTTTGGGTATGAGGACACACGCCAGTGCATCAGGACTAACGGTAGTTGCAGTCGGGGTATGAGGACACATGCCCGTGCATCAGGACTAACGGTAGTTGCAGTTTTGGGTATGAGGACACACGCCAGTGCATCAGGACTAACGGTACATGCAGTCGGGGTATGAGGACACACGCCCGTGCAGCAGGACTAACGGTAGTTGCAGTTTTGGGTATGAGGACACACGCCAGTGCATCAGGACTAACGGTAGTTGCAGTTTTGGGTATGAGGACACACGCCAGTGCATCAGGACTAACGGTAGTTGCAGTCGGGGTATGAGGACACATGCCCGTGCATCAGGACTAACGGTAGTTGCAGTTTTGGGTATGAGGACACACGCCAGTGCATCAGGACTAATGGTACATGCAGTCGGGGTATGAGGACACACGCCAGTGCATCAGGACTAATGGTACATGCAGTCGGGGTATGAGGACAAACGCCCGTGCAGCAGGACTAACGGTACTTGCAGTCGGGGTATGAGGACAAACGCCAGTGCATCAGGACTAACGGTACTTGCAGTCGGGGTTTGAGGACACACGCCAGTGCATCAGGACTAACGGTACTTGCACTCGGGGTATGAGGACAAACGCCAGTGCAGCAGGACTAACGGTAGTTGCAGTCGGGGTATGAGGACACACGCCAGTGCAGCAGGACTGACGACACATGCAGTCTGGTTATAGTGTTAATGTGGTGATCGATCCTATAGAACCACATGTTCTGGTTGAAATCCGTGCACAGGCTACATACGGCTTATGCATCCCATGATGCATAGCCGACGCACGTTTTTCGATGTCTTGGGTTCGAATCTGATCCTCAGTTTGTCAGTACCATTCCCGTGCGTGTTGGTTTCACCCAAGTGGAAGCGTCTACGACGTTCAAAACAATGCTAATTCCAACTCACGTGTTGCCTCAAATCCGCGTATAAATACGGCATAGTCCAGAGCTGGACAACTGTTCCCTTCAACATAGCAGGCGTTGTGAATCAAGCTTCACGCATACGTCCGAACAATCAGCACCAGACATTTTGCCCGTAGGTTTCAATAACACGGACATCTGCAGTCATAATCACTTCATGCGTTTCTCCAAGGTGTGCACATGTTTCAGAAAGCCTTGAAATTGTCAGCCCGGTAATGAAAAGGTCTTGACTTTGCTCTTATATAAATATGTAATAATCATGGTTTCTCTGAAATAATGCGAAACATCCATTCGTCACCACTCGCCCCTTTCCGTAACCAGCTATTCGGCTTGTCCCGGAATAACACGAGTTGGTCACGAATGGCGTAACATCGTGCGGCGAGTAATTTTGAAACCTTTATGTGTGTGTCCTTTCAGTAGCAAAATTGATATCATAATATAATGAGCTGATGCATATGTTTGCAAATACATTTGGGTCACACACCTGGCCTGTAATCATTGTTTTGAAAAAGCTTTAACAGGACAGTTTTGTGTGACTAATGTCCACACACCTTCAACTGATATAATTGAAATACTCTTCAAAGCGGAGTTTAACTCAACACACTAAACTCTCTCACACATTCAATCAATGCTTGTAAGAGGCGACTAACAGGAACGAGTGGTCAGGCTCGCTGACTTGGTTGATGCATGTCATCGTATCCCATTTGCGTGGATCGATGTTCAAGATGTCAATCACTGGAATGTGTGGTCCAGAATTGATTATTCACAGACCGCCGTCATACAGCTGAAATATTGATGAGCGCGGAGTTAAACAGCAAACAAACAAACACACTCATTTCCCTCCCACCCTGCATATTACACGCAGGGTGTATATTCATGTCTGAATCACAATTCATTCCACAGCGAAATAAATAAAATAGAAAAATCAAACAGCGTCTCAAAATCGGACGGCTGCCAAAAAACACCCCTCTTAAATCGATGTTATGTCGTGAAGCGGGTTGACCTTTGGTTTTTGAATGTAAGTTTCACGGCGTTGTACGTCGCCACCCTCTTTGAAACAGCCAAGCAGGTAGGTCTAATCTTCCCGAGGCAAGAGAGTTAACTGACTTTTATAGCCCAGTGGAATCCCTTGCCTCGGGAAGACTGAAGGCCTCTACTGGTCAACACTCAGATCAATGCTGCTCCCTCAGTTGACTCTCCGAGTGTTTGCAATACCACTGAGATGGTCTGGTATGGTCGGACTGGTTAATGACGACTTCAAAAGACTGGCGGCTCTACTGTTAGTGTTACACGTGGAATAGGACTCGATATTGATAGATAAAATGAATCTGGGAGATAAGATAGTTTTAATTTACTAGCTATACTATTTCAGAAGACATAGCGTCAATTGGTTCATCTATCACATGTCACGCGTGTGGGGTAAATCGACTGGCGGTTTATTGGATGAAAGATTCTAAGAGGCTAAAATGTCATTCCAACAATCAGTCAGTCAGTGTGCAGTCTACAGCAGTGAAGATATATCTGCTTCGTCCTGTTAGATTGGATTTACTAATAAACTTAGTGGATAGCGAAAAGGTGAGGGTTCATCGCCTATCGACGTTACGTCATGTGGTCGCACCATGCACGGGGATCCCGGGAGCTCTTGCCCAACGTTGTAAGCCCCAGTCGACGGATTGTTAGTGAGCAGCAGTTAGTGGATGTGAGTGTATTGCATCCCTTAGTTGCAAGGGTCATCTTGTCTTGGGTTCGAATCCAAGACTCACCAAGAGCTATGTTAATGAAGCGCCATGCTCGAGGGTGTCACCCATTCGTGACCAACTCCCGGGACAAGCCGAATAGCGGCTACGGAAAGGGGCGAGTGGTGACGAATGGGGTGTCACTATTAGAAGTGGACAATGTCTGCTGCCTGTGGGGCCCCTGCCTGTGCCACCCTGCCTGTGCCAGGGTTCGATCCCGGGCCGCGTCATACAAAAAGACGTTAAAAGATTGTACTTGTTGTTACCCTGTCTGGCGCTCGGCATTAAGGGGCTAAAACAAGGACTGGTCGGCTCGGAGTCAGTATACTGTGTCTGAGTGAGGTATTCATGTTAAACTGCGGCATGGTATCTCAGTGAGCTAGCACTATAAATCGGCATCAGTCTGGACTAGTACAAGCAGCCACACACACACATACACGTGCATGCACGTCGCTATATAAGTGCAATAATCTTGGACTCGACGTTAAACCCAATTTCACCTCACCTCACCTTTTACGGTAAACATGGGTTGCTGAAGACCTATTCTACCCCGGATCTTCACAGGTCTTCTATATTGCATAATGGCGTCAGATACAGAGAATCCGATTTACGATGATAGCAACTGAAGAGAGTTGCTAAAAACAGACAGTGATGGTGATTTTGTCAAATAATCCCTCACTCACCCACTCAGTTTGATAATACTTACATGAATTTCGATTTTTCTTGGATATGATATTTGTACTATGTTTGAAGCAGGAATTTGAAAGGAACACAATTAACTGCTTAAGTCCGAAAAAGGGTAAAAATTGAATCTTTATGTTCTAATCTTTCAACATCCATTTGCATGCATAGTATGTCTATAAACGGAAATGCTAATTTTGTCACATAAAGGTTAAACCTATTTGAATTACCACAAAACCCGGAATATATAAACAGTTTCACGATTTGATTTATAGAATTGCCAACTGAACGTGGCTTGGATGAAACGCTGTTTTTATAAAAGGCCTGTCGGAGAACTCAATCAGCTTCTCTGAGCGGATGATGTGCTTATTCAGGTTAGTCAATTCACAACGAAGGGAAGTAACTACAGTTAAGGCCAATAGCGATACTATGGCGGCTCCCGTAGAAGAGACGTTCCATATACGCTCGCTTTTGGATGCTGCTAATAACTTAAATAGCATATTACTGAAGAGCCCAACGCCACAGTCGGGTAAGTAAACAAATACTGTTTCTGTATATACTTTCATCTGGAACTTTGTCTCTCAGACAAGCCCACAATCGCAACATTTAGTAGTTTGAGCGAGGTTATCGGTCTCATCATCAGCTGTTTTTCTGTGACCACGCCCACCTTCTAATAAGAATTACACCACGATTGCTATGTGTTGTGGAGGTGTTATGTGATACGATTGCCAAAGAAAGGCTCATGGTAAATGGTGTTCTGATGAAAATATCTTAGTGTGATATTTTATGTTGAAATATGGCGAGGATTTTATCATAATAAGGTCGAATGGACAAAGGATTCCTCCCATTAAGCTATGACGACTAGGTGTTGTTTGTTGTCCGCTGGTGTTGATAATTGATTCCGACCACGGCGTTTAATACCATTAATTCATTTTGACCACAGCGTCTGATCTGCGATTTTCAATTAGGACTTTCCACTCTGGCGTCCCTTATCTAATTTTGCCGATTTTGCCAACTTTGAGCTTCATGGCAGGCACAAGGGAGTCCATATTGATTTGAAATGATTTTCCTCTTCATTCAAACTTGAGTCACTGTTCATTTTATGATATCATTATTCCACATTAGTGCAATCCAGAAATTGCCAAAGTCAAACAGTATAACTGATCAAATTAGGTAATCTCGTAAGCATGCTTCTGTTTAGGCATTACAGGAGTGGGCAAGTTCTTAGGGACAGAACCTAGCAACAGAAACTTAAACTGCATCCACAAACACAATTAATGCCATAGATTTACATCATTTATTAAATCAGGGAACAATAGGGTTAATCAGTTTATATTTCTTGACAAAAATATGGAATATTTGTTTTTTGTTTTTCCATTCATTAAATGTCGATCTTTAATATATTTGCCAACTTGTACAGTTTAAAACTTTATAAGAAGCATGACTGTCAGTATATTTCCCCAAGAGTTTTGAAAGATGGCGGCAAGTGCTTGAACAACTCTTGGATTCTATGGAATTCATGACTATCTGTCATGATGGTGAATGACTATACATTATCACCAGAAGAAGTGTTGAAATTAGAAGTAGGGGATTACTGCTACTGTCAATGGATTAGTCACACTCACTACCTTTTCACCACGTTAAAAGATGGTATTTGTTGTTACCCTGTCTGGCACTCGGCATTAAGACTGGTCAGCTTGGAGTCAGTCTACTGTGTCTGAGTGGGGTATTCATTTTAAGGCCCAGGCTCGATTCCCCACATGTGAACAATTTGTGAAGCCCATTTCTAAAGTCCCCTGTCATGATATTGCTGGGATATTGCCAAAAGTGGCATAAACAACACTCACTCACTCACACTTACCAGTACAGCTTGTGAACACTTCATTACAAGTAAGAATCATAAAAAATTACACATTAATAAGATTTCTATGTATTTTCTTAATAAAGAACACTTTATTCTTTATTTTGGAATGTTCAAAACTTACTGAAAGAAGTTATATACATAGAATACGGTTATCATATACTGGGCTTCAATGGAAATGAAATTACCATAAATTGTGTTATCTTGATCAATGTTAACTTGAAACATTTGAAACATATGGGGGAACTTATTGAAATACAATAAACTATGGTTATAAGAACTCATAGGGACCACTAATTTTAGCGCATTATAGCTGTGGTTCATTATAAGGTGAGGTGAGGTGAAATTGGGTTTAATGTCACTTACAAGATTATTGCACTTATATAGCGACGTGCATGAACGTGTGTGTGTGGCTGCTTGTACTAGTCCGGACTGATGCCGATTTATAGTGCTAGCACACTGAGATACCATGCCGCAGTTTAACATGAATACCTCACTCAGACACAGTATACTGACTCCGAGCCGACCAGTCCTAGTTTTAGCCCCTTAATGCCGAGCACCAGACAGGGCAACAACAAGTACCATCTTTTAACGTCTTTTGGTATGACGCGGCCGGGGATCGAACCCCGAACCTCTGTGCAGTAAACATTCACAACATGGATGCATACATCCTTAGAGCGGAACAGGAATTGCATGGAGATGCTGAGTTAGATTGCATTGATTCTATCAGTGTACCATGAGTAGGGGCAAATAAAGTATATTTGTCTTCAATTACAACCCATTTTTAGAGTTGGGTCATAAGGCAAGGCGTTTTTATTAAATTGTTTAAGGATTCTGTAGATCCTGAAAAACATTAATGTGGAGAAAAAATACAATCTGAACAGCACTGGTTTGTACATGCTCATCTCAAGACAATTTTCTCACAACATGTTAAACTGCAAGACAATAGGTTACACTACGTGAAAATAGGTTAAACTGCATGACCATAGGTTACACTACATGACAATAGGTTACACTGCAAGACAATAGGTTACACTACGTGACAATAGGTTACACTGCATGACAATAGGTTACACTGCATGACAATAGGTTACACTGCATGACAATAGGTTAAACTGCATGACAATAGGTTACACTACGTGACAATAGGTTACACTACGTGACAATAGGTTACACTACAAGACAAAAGGTTACACTACAAGACAATAGGTTACACTACGTGACAATAGGTTACACTACATGACAATAGGTTACACTACGTGACAATAGGTTACACTACATGACAATAGGTTACACTACGTGACAATAGGTTACACTACATGACAATAGGTTACACTACATGACAATAGGTTACACTACATGACAATAGGTTACACTACATGACAATAGGTTAAACTGCATGACAATAGGTTACACTACGTGACAATAGGTTACACTACGTGACAATAGGTTACACTACGTGACAATAGGTTACACTACAAGACAAAAGGTTACACTACAAGACAATAGGTTACACTACATGACAATAGGTTACACTACGTGACAATAGGTTAAACTACATGACAGTAGGTTACACTACATGACAATAGGTTACACTACGTGACAATAGGTTACACTACAAGACAATAGGTTACACTACATGACAATAGGTTACACTACAGGACAATAGGTTACACTGCAAGACAATAGGTTACACTACATGACAATAGGTTACACTACATGACAATAGGTTACACTACATGACAATAGGTTACACTGCATGACAATAGGTTACACTACATGACAATAGGTTACACTGCATAACAATAGGTTACACTGTATGACAATAGGTTACACTTCATGACAATAGGTTACACTACCGGACAATAGGTTACACTGCAAGACAATAGGTTACACCACATGACAATAGGTTACACTACATGACAATAGGTTACACTACATGACAATAGGTTACACTACATGACAATAGGTTACACTATGGTAAAAAATATAACTTTGCATTAAATCTTATTCAACGTCACAGGAACTTTTGTTGTTCAGTATAGATAGTAACTGAGAATGGGAGATGGGTGGCTTGATACCATGCATGTCAAAAGATCTTAAAGGATAGTACTTGTTGTTTCCCTGCTTGGTGCTGGGCATTAAGGGGCTAAAACAAAGACTTGTCGGCTTGGATTGGGTAAACTGTGTCTGAGTTGGGTACCCATTGTAAACTGTGGCATGGTATCTCAGTGGGCTAGCACTATTATACTGGCAATAGTCTGAACTAGTACAAACAGCCACAGGTACTATATGAGTGCAGGAAACTCACCTCATCTCATCCAAGATCTACAGAACAGAGTCACATCCCTTAGTCCTACCAGGATCCAATGATTGTGGGTTCAAATCCCATATTTGCCAGATGAACACCCTTGATTGGTCTTCAAAGTACCCAAGCTCGTGGATTTCACCAAAGTGGTAAACATCTAAGGTTTCTGACTTCCAACCACAGTAAACTGATATGCTGTGATCAAACAAAGTACTGATCAAAGAGTTGTCAAATCAATAACAGACTCACTCAAAACAACGAGGTCTAGTTCCTTGTTGTTGGGGACACATCTGTAGTGTTTCGGTTATACTGGACCCTTTATGAGACCAGATGATGATAAAAGGCTTAGTGTATGGTATTGTTTGCAGCTGAGGGAAAGGGTAGCCTTGACACATGTCGTCACCGCTGTGATGTTCTGCTGACGAAGTGTACGGAGACAACAGCCGTTACTGCCGATACTACAAAAGACTGCCTCCAGGAATATGCACAGGTTGGTTCTTGAATCTAAATTTCTATACAGACAATTGTGGGCTGATCCAGCCGTGAACTTGAACTGTTCAGAAGAGTCTAAATATTATGAATAGTCTCCCCCTTTACCTCATCAAAAATTGACTGGTCCATTATAAAACAAACTGGGCCTCAACACTCTTCCTGCACTCACTTCTGAACAGGGACCATGAATCACACAATAGCCGCATCATGATTCCATTGTACGGATGTTTCAGTAGTTTCACAGGAAACGTGGCAGATAGTTACCATGGTTACAAAATCATTTCCTGCAGAAGTCAAGATTACCATGACCTTTTTATCAATTCATATCTAATATAAGTCAACTGAACCAAAAATTATGTTACTTTCAAATGATTACTTTTTTAGGTAATTCCATTTACAAACTAATTTCCCTGTTTCTTAACAAGCTTTTCCACAAGAAATCTTCAAAGAAATCAAGCCATACATGGGCTTGGTTTTACAGGAATCTCTAAGGTTTTGTTTGTCTGTCCGTCCGTCCGTCCGTCCGTCCGTCCGTCCATCCATCTTGGACTTTTTATCCCAACCATCTGAAGTGTTGTGCCTGTAACTAGATCTGCTCATGGCATTAAAATGACAAAAAAAGATATTTCAAGATTGGTTAAAATTCAGAAAATCTTTTGGAAATTTCTGTTCAGAAACTTATGGGGCTACAGAGTTGAAACAATGAGATGTGACCATATGTGACCTTTATGTGACTTTGGTTCTTTCATGGAATTGACAAATTTAGTTTATTTCTTAAATTTAGAGTTTAAAATATTTGTAGCTTTGTAAAAAACAAAAATTCAGTGATCGAGGTCGCATTTTGTGTAAAAGATTACATTTAGGCACCATCTTTTACACTGAACTTTGGCCATTTGATGTTGTGAAAATACAATCTTACATCTCAGAAACTGCTTTTCCAAATGGAGCGATATTTCTAAACAATGTATGGTATCATAACACTGAAATGTTATTACAGTGCTGTCATGTTGTCCTTACACGTGAAACAGACCACTCTACACAGTCGATTGTGTGCCACACTCTACATATATGTGATGGCTGAAAATGTCACTGCACTTCAAATGTTCCTGGTGAACTGTGAATAAAGTGGTCTCTAGACCTGCTGGGAATGGATGGCACTGGGATGGGTGAACACCAGTGTGGCATGAACTCTGCCTGCATTGGCCAAATAGCCCAGTAACTCTCTCATAGTATCATCACATAGCAAAGGTTATGAAGCCAGCAACAGGAGGCCAAACATGAGAAAAAGGCAGAATATATAAAGGGCATAAATGTGGCCATTGCCAAATTGTCTGAGGTATTCAATATCAATTTGCAGAGTTATGTCCCTTAGGCAGGCCAGTATCAGCTGATTGTGGGTTTGAATCCCAGATTCACAGTGATGATAAATCTTGGTGTTTGAGCACCCTCCCTACCTGTTTGGTTTCACTAAAATAGTGAATGCCTCAATCAAAATCTTCCTTTTATCAAGGATAACCAATGAGAGAATGAACAATAGTGTTCCCAGTGAAATCACCAAAAATAATGAATTTCTGGATTATGGAATCTCATTTTATATAGTGGGGTCCCTTCAGCTGAATGTAGGTGTTGACAGCAGTAGCAGCCTGGAAAATGGGGTTTCCAGACTAACAGGGTGTCACTTTGGAACCGCCTGGCTACACCATCAACCTCTGCCAGCTCAGTCTCATCAAGGAAAGTGTTGGTTCAGACAGTATGCCTGGTAGAGTTATCTCCCTTGTTACAAGTGACATGGATTTTTCCCTGTTATGGTTAAGTTTGAACATGTGATTAAACAATGAACAGATCTGAAGGTATATTTATTCCAAAAGCCATCATATTCATGCTTCAGATATTGTTTATGTACAAGTTTATTTCATATGTCTACATTAATAGCACTTTGCTATTCTGTTCTGGAAAAGTATAGAAGGCATGGGGTATATAGTTGTTGTTGGTTGTTGTTTAACGTCACACTCATCAATGTTTCAGCTTTATGACGGTGGTCCGTAGATAATCGAGTCTGGACCTGACAATCCAGTGTTTGACATCATGAGCATCTATCCACGCAATTGGGATACATGCATCAATCAAGTCAGCGGGCCTGACCACCCGATCCCGTTAGTCACCTTTTATGACAAGCATTGTCGCCTTTACGACAAGCATGGGTTGCTGAAGTCCTATTACAACCCGGATCTTCACAGGTCTTACCGGGTATATACAATAGACATAGAACTGATCTTTCACCCCCCTTTCCCAACCCCCAGCCACACCCACCACAGACAATGTACATGACTGTCTGGTTCAGTCAGGACAGTTTTAGGTTCAATGACATTTGAACTAATTTTTTTCACAATCCGTTAAGTCGCTTCCTACGATCAGCAGGGTTTCTGGGGACCTGTTCTAACCTGGACTCCCCACGGGGGAAGAATCGATGTAGTACATCTACATGTAGATCAAGAACGTTTGAGTAATTGCCGTGTTGGTTGCAGATCCTGCTGGACTTCACATTCATCCATGAGAATGAGCTGGTGGACGAGAACTTCCCGGAGACAAGCACCAGCTCCAGGATAGCCAAGATCTTGGGTAACTGTTAGGCAGGATCACTCACTGAACTGGGAGCACTGTCTAATGTGCTGTCTGCATCCCCTGTCTGCGCTAGAAACCTATGATCGTGCGGTTGAACCCCGCTTTGCCTCGATTTAGTTTCTAGGTCTGTCAGTGTCATACTCATGCTTGCGGGTATCACCAAAGTGGTAAATGTCATCTGAGACCTGCACATGAAGCTGACACTCCGTAATATATAACTGGAATACTATTCAAAGAGGTCTTAAGCCCAACTCACTCTTCATATTGGCTACACTTAGGTATAATTTGTAATGAATGTTCCTAACGATCATCGGTAATTTCTTCTTACATCACTAAAGTGATATTACCTTGACTTCATTATGGCATCGAGACAATATTTATGTTGTCTTATTCCATGTTTGTGGGATTGGAATGAAAGTGAAATTTCAATACAGTTCAAGAATTGCATTCAAGTGTGATTTGTCAAGTACCAACTGGGTTTTATATCCAAGTAACATGCACAGTGGCTCCAGAGGTGAGGTGCAGGATTGCGCACCTTGCATTTTTTAAGCATACTAATCATGTTTTTGTATTTAAAAACATTTTACTAAATCGTTTGGTACATGTTTTAAGAAAATAGCAATTTATTGACTAATTTCTGGTATACAAATGCAAATTGTTTCCCGAATTAATTTCATTCATTTTTTAAATCTATTTTAAGTGCGCCCCACTTTCCTAACACTTTGTCCATGCTTAAAGGGGCACTGATCTAACGCAATTCCCCGGGACTGGTTGTTGCCTTTGTTATTGTTTTTTCCCAGTGAGTACCCGGATGTATAGCAGAAATCTAGACTAGTTCGCGACCTCTGCTGCGCCATTCGTAAGCGCATTAGTCACTTTTATGGGTAGTAATAAGGGCGTACGGTCACATTGATCAACAAAATGAAATACAGTTTCGAGATAATAAGGAAATGTAGGTATCTTTGTGGGTAGCATCGGTAATGGTGACGAAGTTTTGATAAGTCACTTGCTTGGTAATTTTCGCGATTTTCGTTTACACTATTTTGACTTGCAACACAAAGTAAATATTTCACCTGAGCATTGCTTTTTTTATAGTGTGTATATTTTTTTACTGTCAAATGTGTAACAAATTTATTAAACGTCTAAATATTCAGTTATTTTACAAAGTGACTGAAAAACATTTCCATCTGTATTATTATGATAACGAATTCCAAACATTTTGATGTTTAATGTCATCACCAAGAGACTGAAAATGTTACGTTGAAAAGTACATTTCTATGTTGTTTGGCTTCTAATCCTACCTGATAATCTGTTGTGATGTTTGTAGGCCCTTTTGATTGTCTTAATCAATCTGGACAGATTTTTTAGTCAAAATGACTGAAATAATTACACATTTTATAAATTGCCTGAGTGAATCACACTTTACAAATTGACGGTAATATATACACGCTTACAAAGGAAAAGACCTGTGAAAACAACCTCTATCGCGCATTGAAGAATTTCCAACCAAGACGTAGAGAAACAAGAACGAATCGGTTCAAATGAAGGAAAACAAAATGCAAATATCATAATTACAACCTACCAAATTTATGTGTATAAATTTTAGGCAGCTTCCTTGTTCGAGGAATGTATCCGTGAATATCCACACAAAGGAACAATATCCCACTCGTCTGCAGCTGTACAAAGAAACTTATTCGATGTCACGTGTCTCAGTAACAATCAAATATTTTAAAAGATATATATCGTTTCGGGATATTATAACCCGTGTTCGTTTCTCAACTGATCACTTGGATTGTTTCAGGTGTTTCACATAGGTGCCAAGTCTCAATGGTCGGCTGAGAAAGCCCACGTGACAACTATTTTCATAACGTCCACGGTTCCTAAAAAATCCATTGAGTGATAGATAACAATGATCAATCAATCAACGTATTATCAGTTAACCCTTTGAACAAAGTATGTTGTTTTTACATCGGCACTTCACGCCATGATATGAGTGTATTCCCTTTGTTTTAGTAAACCTAGACATGTAAACACTCACTCTTGACATATCCACTGTGCAAGATAACAGTGATTAATCAATCAACGTATTTTCTGTTAATACTTTGATGACTAGGAACGATCCGTTGATTTACAACAACAACAAAATCAACTGATCATTCATCTCTTGCTGGGCTGCCACGTGCATATTACATAACACACATTTCACCTCACTTCAAACCTGGATTTAGATTGAATAATTACCCCATACACAATAAATGCCAAATGGGAACCTTTGTCAGGTAATCTAAGTGGTGCTACCACTAATTGTACCTGTAATAAATTCATTAACTGAGCATCAAGTGAATGACGACAAATACACAAGTGTAGGGTTATATGAGAAAACGTGGATGACAACAAGGGAGTAGTAATCGTATTATCGACGCAAGCCGAAATCCCAAAATGCTTTCACTGCATGGATACTTTTTTTAGTATTAAACTATAACCATCTTGGGTATTTCCAAATGACGACATCCGATGAGCTCTGCTGTTCTTTTTGTCTGTTTGTTTAGGCTGAAGAAATTAATTAACATGCGCCCTTTGTCGAAATCTTTATAGATCACAGTTAACCAATCAGTGTTTATGCAAAAATGCGTAAAACAAATATTGCCTCCAGCCTCCAAGTTTATTTAGCTGTCCTTGCAGACGGTAGCCCAGTCTCTGGTCACGCTCAGTTGCGTTGCGTATCATCCGGGTACTCACGGGGAAAAAAACAATAACAAAGGCAGCAACCAGTCCGGGGAATTGCGTTAGATCAGTGCCCCTTTAAGTGAACACATGTCAACAATTTAATTTGTGGCACAGCTAACGTTGGTTGAATCCAAAAACAACTACATGCTAAAATCACTACACTTAGTTCAAACAAGTATGTATTTGTAACAAATGTTATATTTGGGATAACACTTTCTGAGTAAGGTGGTTGAGTCCCATCCGGGATGCGAACCCACAATGCCAGAGTGAGGCACCTAATCGCCAGCACACAAAGTCAGTAATCTAACCCACTCAGCCACCGAGGCTTCCACAAAATGAAAGTCCGACAACTGGTAGTCTAGATCGTGTACTTTGTGTACCCCTCTGACAAGTGCAAGTTGGCACGGCTCCCATGGCCAAAAGCTATGAACACACAATGCCATATTGAAAGTGGTCAAATGTAACGAATGTTATTCTTGGGATAACACTAGTATGTATTTGTATGTTGTAAGACCAGTCCACTTGGGGATAACGGGAACAGGCAGGGGAATGGCTCCCCACTGGATCTGCTCTGTTGTTTTAAATTGTAGTGATTTGGCATGCTGTTATTTTGGGAAGATACCCTTACATTTGCTTTACTGGTATCCGGTTTGACGAGAAATGGCGTTGATATTAACCATGCCTCTCTTTACAGGATACTTTGACAGTTTGCTGGATCTGGCCAAGGAGGTGTTTCCTAACATCCAGGTGTGTACAACAGGAGTGTCTGCAGTACCTGGCACAAGTCTCGGTATTTTATGGGTGCTTCAGTGTTTTTGTTTTGCTTGAATATTACTTCCACCATCTTCCTGAGGCAAGGGAGTTAACTGACTATAAAAGTCCAGTTTCCACCCTTGCCAAACTAGGCTGCAATTATGGAGTTATTTCTTGACTGGACTAATGAGTCTATACAAAGTCCAATCAAAATGGCTCGTAAATTGCTGTGCAGACTTCAGTCGATTACAGGATTTGCAAAGCAGGTGAACCACCAACTCGTTTTTTTCCATTTTATTTCACATTTTTAATCCATGTGCTCACGTGATTGGATGCACTTCTTGTTGTAAGACCCAATATTACAAAAAAGATTTTGATTATGGATGAGATCTTCTTGACTGGGTGCAGCCATTTTGTTTGAAGCAAAAGCAAATGATATGAGAGGTGGAATCTGATTGGTCAGAAGGAGGAACATAGAAGGGACATAACTCATAATAGCCACGGGTGGCGCTAAGATCGAGCCCAGAAATTACAGCCTAGTTTGTCAAGGATGGAAACTGGACTTTCCTAGTCAGTTAACTCCCCTGCCTCAGGAAGATGAACCGTATTCCCCAACAGACTTGATTTGTACACAGCCAGCATGTGGCAGGGAAGACATGATTTCAGATTGTTTCAGATTGTTTCAGATACAGTCGGGATCAATGTGGATGGAAAAATTCTCATGAAAATTATATTTATGAAGAAATAGTGCCACTCAGTTAGCAGAAACAAATGGTGCACCATTTAGGCAAGGATTGAAAAATCTCCTGCTTAACATTGGACATTCTTTTTTAAATAACATAACTATACAAAACTTTATGATTTTTCATTATTTTCTCCCACATGAAGTTAATACAGTCCAAAATTGCTTTTCGGCTCTTCTAGAGCTTTGCGTCCATATGAAGAAAGTGTGGGTGTTGATTGGAGAATGTGTTGTGTTTCAGCCAATGGAGAGCCTGGGTGTTGAGCTGATGGAGTGTGTGTTGTGGCGGAAGGGGGCGCTGTTCTACATGTACTGTCACCAGACGTGGCCTGACACGGACAGGCTCTGTCGCAACAAGACCAACTTCCAGCAGGTAGGCCAACACGAGAATGGGGGTGGGGGTGCAGGGGGGTAGGCCAACACGAGAATGGGGGTGGGGGTGCAGGGGGAAGACCAACACGAGAATGGGGGTGGGGATGCACGGGGGTAGGCCAACACGAGAATGGGGGTGGGGGTGTTTGGGGTAGGCCAACACGAGAATGGGGGTGGGGATGCATGGGGTAGGCCAACACGAGAATGGGGGTGGGGGTGTTCGGGGTAGGCCAACACGAGAATGGGGGTGGGGATGCACGGGGGTAGGCCAACACGAGAATGGGGGTGGGGGTGTTCGGGGAAGGCCAACACGAGAATGGGGGTGGGGGTGCAGGGGGGTAGGCCAACACGAGAATGGGGGTGGGGGTGCAGGGGGAAGACCAACACGAGAATGGGGGTGGGGATGCACGGGGTAGGCCAACACGAGAATGGGGGTGGGGGTGTTCGGGGTAGGCCAACACGAGAATGGGGGTGGGGATGCACGGGGGTAGGCCAACACGAGAATTGGGGTGGGGGTGTTCGGGGTAGGCCAACACGAGAATGGGGGTGGGGGTGTTCGGGGAAGGCCAACACGAGAATGGGGGTGGGGGTGCAGGGGGGTAGGCCAACACGAGAATGGGGGTGGGGGTGCAGGGGGGTAGGCCAACACGAGAATGGGGGTGGGGGTGCAGGGGGGTAGGCCAACACGAGAATGGGGGTGGGGGTGCAGGGGGGTAGGCCAACACGAGAATGGGGGTGGGGGTGTTCGGGGAAGGCCAACACAAGAATGGGGGTGGGGGTGCAGGGGGGTAGGCCAACACAAGAATGGGGGTGGGAGGGCAGGGGGGTAGGCCAACACAAGAATGGGGTTGGGGGGGCAGGAGAGTAGGCCAACACAAGAATTGGGGATGGGGGGGCAGCGGGGTAGGCCAACAGGAGAATTGGGGTCGGAGTGCAGGGGGTAAGCCAACACGAGAATTGGGGTGGGGTTGCAGGGGGTGGGCCAACACCAGAATTAGGGTGGGGGTGCAGGGGAAAGGCCAACACGAGTATGGGGATGGGGGTGCGGGGGGTAGGCCAACACGAGAATATGGATCGGGGTGCAGTAAGGTAGGCCAACACAAGAACATGGGTCAGGGTGCAGGGATGTCGGTCAACATGGAAATGGGGCCGGGGGTTCAGGGGGAAGGCCAACACGAGAATGGGGGTCGAGGTGCTGGGGGAAGGCCAACATTGGAATGGAGGTGTGCAGGGGGGTAGGCCAACATGAGAATATGGGTCAGGGTGTAGGGGGTAGGCCAACATGGGGATGGGGGTGTGCAGGGGGGTAGGCCAACATGAGAATATGGGTCAGGGTGTAGGGGGTAGGCCAACATGGGGATGGGGGTCGAGGTGCAGGGGGGTAGGCCAACATGGGGATGGGGGTGTGCAGGGGGGTAGGCCAACATGGGGATGGGTGTGCAGGGGGTAGGCCAACATGAGAATATGGGTCAGGGTGTAGGGGGTAGGCCAACATGGGGATGGGGGTCGAGGTGCAGGGGGTAGGCTAACATGAGAATGGGGGTCAGGGTGCTGGGGGGTCACAACTCCACTATCAAGTGTAGTGTATCTCCACCCTCCTGTCTCGGAATAAACATACAGTATCTCTCATTTAAGAGTAATTTGATTGGATGTTTCAGACAAAGAAATACGTTTGAAAAATTTAGGCTGATAGTTTTAATTCCAAAAATATCTGGTTTCAGGACTGTAGCTAAAGAAATATCTAGTCACCATACGAAATCCCTGGTATCCAAGATATTAAATGGTCGGACCCTAAGGAACTGAATGTTTGCTCATTTGTTTCACATACACCCCATATTAGCAGCCATTAGATTTCCTAATATTGTGCTAGAATTCTAACCACAACCACTATGGTCTGGTGCCTTATCCAAATTGTTTAATCCTGTCAGCAGACTGACATGGCAGGGATGTCCTCTGTGGGATGTCGCCAGTGGGATGACTGCATGCCCAGAATACATCAGATGTTGTTTGAGAGAGTATGGTTTTATGCCGCTTTTAGCAACATTCCAGCAATATCACGGCAGGGGACACCAGAAATGGGCTTCACACATTGTACCCATGTCAGGAATTGAACCCGGATCTTTGGCATGATGAGCGACCTTTTTGACAGCTAGGCTACCCGACTGCCCAGATGTTGCTAGAACAAGGTTTCAGCAGGGTATTTCTGTCATGTCTTTTGCTTGTCAACACAGAATCTACGCGATGGCGTGACGTACCTGCAGGAGATGCTAGCGGTCAGACGACCACTCCCAGCTGACCAGTGTTCAGGAAGAGATGAGGATGACACCTTCACTCTCATGAAGTCGGGTATGTGATGCTACCTACTCAACAACTACTCCCAGTCATAGAATATCGTACACCCACCTTCTGGCACTGATGTATGTAGGAGAGAGGTACATCCTCTTTGTAGTGGTCATAATAAAACGGAGCCATAGTGTTCATACCAAAGCTTTATTGCAATCTTCTTAAGTTCCAGTTTGAACACTATGGCTCTGTCTTTTGGATAGGAATGGATAATGTTAAAATATGTCTGCAACTGCGTTATTGTGAAACACTTTCACAAGCATCTCACCATTGAACCAAACATCACATTGCTCCCGACACGCACCATGCAGCCATATGCTTGACAACATCCCCTAACACCCTTTCAAAGGGGACCGCCCCATGGTCTAGTGGAAGGGCATCCTCCCGGAGAGCAGAAGGTCCGGGGTTCAATCCCCGGCCGCATTGTACCAAAAGACGTTTAAAGATGGTATTTGTTTTTACCCTGTCTGGTGCTCGGCATTTAGGGGCTAAACAAGGACTGGTCGGCTCGGAGTCAGTATACTGTGTCTGAGTGGGGTATACATGTTTAACTGCGGCATGGTATGTCTGTGGGCTAGCACTATAAATCGGCACCATTCCGGACTAGTACAAGCAGCCACACACACAGAAACCCCATATCACATTAACCCCAACACAAGAGTACTACATTAACCCCATTAACATTAACCCCATATCACCTCACCACCACCTTTCAAGGGGCATAACTCTTCCCTGTTCATGATCATACCACTATATAAAGCATTTGTATCTACAGTGACACTGTCTGTTCCAGGAATCTACTCCGACACCCACCTTCTAGCGCTGATGTATGCGGGGGAGATGTGTTACTGGTTTGTCAAGGGACAGAAGGAAGAGGGGTTTGAGAGCATGGCCGACTTCCAGGCGAAGGACACCGGCACCCGGCTCCTCAAGTCCTACATCGAGGCAATAAAGGGGCCACTACAAGGCGCGGGCTGGAACACAGACAGAGCCCAACAGATTCTCCGATACTTTGACGACTAAACATTGCTAGTCCTTGACAGAGACATTGAGAGTTGTGGATTATCCTAGAGAATCTGCTTTACATGTTTTTTTCTGTTATGACAAAGAACTGTTATATTGCTGATCAGGGCATGCAATCTTTATCCCTGTGATTCATACTATTCTGATGACAGCAGTACAATACAGTACTATATTACAGTACTGGAATTTGATCTGGTACAGGGTACCATGTCATTATCATACTGCTACCTTGGATAGGAGATCGGATGACCAATATGGCTGACGACTTTGGATTTTACTTGTTCTTGAAGACCAACTCTCCGCGGCAGTGTGGCATCATTCCCTACAGGGTGTGAAGCCCTTTGCTGGCATCCTCTGCCGTGATATTGATGGAATATTGCTGAACGCAATGTAAAACTCACTCCTTAAAACTCGCTCACACCTTCCCAGACAGCTTGCAGCGATGCTCACAATATCAGCCTCTAGTTTTACCTTCACAGCTCAATGCCGTGTTTAACAATCTTAACATTGAGCTGTGGGTAGCCCTAACACTAACACAGATTATTTAGATATGAAAATGGTATTCATATGCCCCCATAGTTCAAATCATAGTAGCGTATTAATATAAGACTCTACGATCCTGTACGCATCTCACTGGCACACAATATCCTAATGCAGTTGTATTTGTTGAATCTGTCCAGCTCATGTGTACCCTCTATACTGTTTTAAGCTAAGACAGACCAAATATGACATATATTACTCAAAAGAAGTGAAGGAACGCTTGAATCTTTCATATGACTATAGTTAATTTGTCAAAATTTTGTTCCTTAACTTCTTTTGAGTAGTATATAATGTCATTGCTATAGTTGTGTTGAACTGTGTATTTCATTATCAACACATTTTCCAGAATTTATGGGTTTAGGTCCTAACATGCTTGATTTTTCCTTGGAATGTTTGTTTGGGCACATGGGTACACAATTCGTCCAAAGCTTCGTCCATTCTTGCCATAACCCCTTCTCAGGAGACAAAGTCTTTTAGAATGATTCACTGATTTGTCTCTAACCACAGCATCTTCTCATTGAAACTCCCGAGCGACCCAGACATCTAAGACGCCGCTATTTACTTTGCATAGTTCCATCCCTTGAAACCAGAAACCTATAATCGTGGTTTCGAATGCCGTTTCTCCCTGATTATGTTTCTAGGTTAGTCAGCATCAGAACGTGCTCGTGGGTTTCACCAAAGTGGTCAACATCTGAAACCTGCATCACATTAACCCGATGTGCCATGATATAACTGGCATACTGTTCAAAGTGGCATTAATAAACCCAACTCACTCACTCACTCACTCATTAAAAATCATATCTAGGCTTATTTTTGGAAGAGGGACAAAAAATACACTATTTTTTATTTATTAAATTATTTCACTTTTCAAATGTTTAGAGTTGATTCGTATACCAAGTTTTAAATAAATCTGGTCCTACACTAATTACACAGTGTCCGTGCTACAACTAGACCGACCAACCATCACAGACAGCAACCATGGAGCACACAGCCTCTGAAAGACCCTGTAACTGCATGGTCTTGACAGAACCTTTCTTCACTTATCAACATCTGATTTTCTGAATACCATGGCGTCCAAACTAGGGTCTCTCATCCAGTGCACATTGTCCTAAGTAGCGACTAATGAGATCGGGTGGTCAGGCTCTCTGATTTTGTTGATGCATGTCATCGTATCCCAATGGTGTAGATCAATGCTCATGATATTCATCACTGAATTGTCTGGTCCAGACTCGTTTATTACAGACCGCCAACATATAGCTGGAATATTGCTGAGTGCGGCGTTAAACAACAAACAAACAAAACATCCAGTACACTAATATTCAAACAGGAACATGAAGGTCATTCTGAAAGATTTGGGCTCCTGACATCCACTTTCTGTATGTTTTGTGATTCTGTGTAGTCCAGTGTATTCCTGTGTTTAGTGTAGTCCTCATACTCAGCACATAGAGGTAGACTTGTTCAAGACTTCATTCACACATTCCTCGATGTTTCATTGTAGTTTTTTCTGATGTAGTTATTGTGAGATCTATGTATCATTTATTGCGAGATCTACCCTTCTTGTTTATTGCGATCTGTTTACCTTGAACCCCTTCCCAGTGAAATCATATGGAATTACAAATCCTGGGCATGGATCTTTGTCTATACATACATTCCAAACAGTGATCCTCCAGAAGGTGTCTCTCTGGATAAATGGGGTTTCATTACATCTTCTTTATTGAGATCTATGTATCTTGTTTGCTGTGAGAGTTCATGGACTGGATGGAACAGCCCGATTGTGGAGTGTATCGGTTTGGTGGTTATTGTTGGGAAACCTGCAACGTCGTATTTCGGAGTCCCTTGTCCCAGGGTCTGTGTAGTGCGCCCCTCGTCACCTTGTGTATGATCCATGGTCTGTCACCACCCTACCTGTGTTTTAGCACTGCATCCCTTAAGTCTCTCCTCCAAGGTGATGCCATGATATAACTGAAATACTGTTGAAAGAGGCATTGAACACCATCTCTGAATTTTGCTTTACTAGTTTAGTAGAACATGTTTTACGAACTGTCTTCATATTGTGTAGTCAAGTAAAGTAAAGTATACACTATGTAAAGCATTGCTTGTGTACAGCCAACCTAGCTGTCAGTGATAGACACACATAGGTGAGATGCAAGCCCTTTGTCCTCCATGTCAATACTTCAGGCTGTGTTCCTCCATCGCCGGGGGATACATACGGTTGTTATGCAATGTAGTTGTGACATGTCAGCTTATGAATGAGGCTGTGTGTAAGTGAAGTCAAATGAGCTCCACTCTGTGTCTGAACATAACGTGAACCCAGCCGTTTCCTGACTTTGAAGCAATGTGGAGAGCCGATACCACATTTCTATTGAACGTTCCATGAGAATATTGTCAAGCGAGAAACATTGCCGTTTGTGTGATATAACCAGAGTGTTCATTGAGAAGTTCCATCTTGCTGGCATCTTCCCGAAGCAAGGGAGTTAACTGACTATGAAAGTCCAGTTTCCACCCTTGCCGAACTAGGCTCGTATTATGGAGTTATATTTTGGCTGGACTAACGAGTCAATGCATAGTCCAATCAAAAAGGCATAACGAAAACGACATCCGGTTCATATATGCTGCCGTGCAGAAATCAGTTGACTGCAGGATTTGCAAAGCATGTGTACCGCCAATTCGGCATCAACAGATTCATTCCAGATCTTTTTATGTTTTTAATCAAGGTGCTCACATGATTTGATGCATTTTGCGAAGTAAGACTCGTAAGACTATATAGATTTTGATTATCGGTCATTTTGTTTGAAGCAAATGCAAGTGATATGAGAGTTGGAATCTGATTGATCAGTAGGAGGGTCATAGAAGGGATATGACTACAATCGAGCCCAGAAATTCCAGCCTAATTCGGCAATGGTGGAAACTGGACTTTCAGTCAGTTATCTCCCTTGCCTCAGGACGATGTCTTGCTGGAAGCAGGTCGTTGTTTGTTTCATTGATAAAAACAGCAACTACATCGCATATCGGTCCAACGCCCGGGAGATGAGGAACCTAGAGTTTACTGTAAAGAACTGGTGACGCTTTATCCTGTTCATTGATAGTATCACTTTCCCGTACTTTCTTGTATACATGCTGTCTGGCTGAGGTGACATTATGCACAAGGAGCCAATGTTTAGAGAGGATTTTGCATAATTGTTGTTTCACCTGTAAGTTTTGCTTCCGAATGTTGTTTTATTCTATTGGGAAATGCAAGATTGCCAGCTGAAGGCCCGTACCGATCAGTACTGTCTTTGTGTGAGAGTATCAAGTACGAGCGACAACTGCTGTGAGCTTGTGTGTAGTGGTGTGCTCTAGATAAGCCTGTTGTGGCGTATTCACTATTTTCAAATAAAGATTCATTGCCAGCCTTGACTTTGTTGATTTTTACTTTGTATGTGTGTCAACAACCTGGCTATCAGGTTGGAACTGGCCTCATAATCTCTGTATCAGTTCATCATATTTTTATCATGCTCAAAACAGAACTATTTACATTTCTGTCATTGACTGCTTCTACCAAAGTACCTTAAATCAGTGAACGTGCATTTTTTTAAAGCAAAGCATTGCCTTCAACATTTAGCATTGTCAAGGAGCATAGGTCACTTTGTAGCACTACTCGACACTGTTTGACTCATTTGTCATTGCAATCTACCATTCTACAGATGCAGTTTGACACTGTGGGACGAGTCCTATCAAGACCTTATGTCTCTATTGTGTAACTGCAATCTACAATGCCAACTCCACTGAAGCAGTTTGACACTGTGGGACGAGTCCTATCAATGTCTCTATTGTGTCACTGCAATCTACAACGCCAACTCCACTGAAGCAGTTTGACACTGTGGGACGAGTCCTATCAAGACCTAATATCTCTATTGTGTCACTGCAATCTACAACTCCAATTCCACTGAAGCAGTTTGACACTGTGGGACGAGTCCTATCATGACCTAATGTGTGTCTTGTGTCACTGCAATCTACAACGCCAACTCCACTGAAGCAGTTTGACACTGTGGGACGAGTCCTATCAATGTCTCTATTGTGTCACTGCAATCTACAACGCCAACTCCACTGAAGCAGTTTGACACTGTGGGACGAGTCCTATCAAGACCTAATATCTCTATTGTGTCACTGCAATCTACAACTCCAATTCCACTGAAGCAGTTTGACACTGTGGGACGAGTCCTATCATGACCTAATGTGTGTCTTGTGTCACTGCAATCTACAACGCCAACTCCACTGAAGCAGTTTGACACTGTGGGACGAGTCCTATCAAGACCTAATGTGTGTCTTGTGTCACTGCAATCTACAACGCCAACTCCACTGAAGCAGTTTGACACTGTGGGACGAGTCCTATCAAGACCTAATGTGTGTCTTGTGTCACTGCAATCTACAACGCCAACTCAACTGAAGCAGTTTGACACTGTGGGATGAGTCCTATCAAGACCTAATGTGTGTCTTGTGTCACTGCAATCTACAACGCCAACTCCACTGAAGCAGTTTGACACTGTGGGACGAGTCCTATCAAGACCTAATGTGTGTCTTGTGTCACTGCAATCTACAACTCCAATTCCACTGAAGCAGTTTGACACTGTGGGACGAGTCCTATCAAGACCTAATGTGTGTCTTGTGTCACTGCAATCTACAACTCCAACTCCACTGAAGCAGTTTGACACTGTGGGACGAGTCCTATCAAGACCTAATGTGTGTCTTGTGTCACTGCAATCTACAACTCCAATTCCACTGAAGCAGTTTGACACTGTGGGACGAGTCCTATCAAGACCTAATGTGTGTCTTGTGTCACTGCAGTCTACAACTCCAACTCCACTGAAGCAGTTTGACACTGTGGGATGAGTCCTATCAAGACCTAATGTGTGTCTTGTGTCACTGCAATCTACTATTCTACTGACTCATCATCAGGCACTGTTGACGATCCAGATCCAATAAATCCACCCTTAGATCACATTCAATCTCATTAAAATCAGATCTTAGTTCTTGCTACTGCTAAACAAATATCTGAGGGCATCCCATTACAGGTCACGTCAGAACAACAGTGCCCAACCAATGGAATGACTGACAGGAAGTCGACATTAGCAAATCAGAAGGCAACTTCACTTCGAAACATATTTTGACAAATTCTCAATTTAACATGTGGAAACTGAACAAATGAACATTCTGGAATGGCTAATAGATGGCCTAGGCAGTATGGACTCCGTCATAAAACCCGTAACTGTCATTCAGAATGTTAATTTTTTCAAGGTTGCATCATTAGAAAAGACATGACCAGGATCACTTTCAACGCTTTGATTGTTCGGATGGCAGGTCGTTCTGATGTGACCCGTTATGGGATGTCCTCAGATCTTTGTTTAGCAATAGTGAGAACTAAGAAACGATTTTTATGAGATTGAGAATGCATTATTCGAGCCATCAAATAAACAAGAAATGTCTATCAATGTTATTCACAAATTTATTCTTCCAGTGTATCTGACATGAAAATATACAAAATGAATGATGCAGTGATGACAGACTTGTTAGTTTTTCAGTCTCCAGACTTTGGCTTCTTTGTACCTACAACATAAAGTAATGTGCGTGTGTGTGAGTTGGGCTGGATAGATAACATTTCAGTAACATCGCTTACATTGTTTGCCAAACCTTAGTTCTGTTAAGTCCAAACTTTTGATTTTATTTCTGAAATGTTGTGAGATCTTTTTTCTGGCTAGACTATCTGCATTCACAGATAAAATATTCTCAAAACCATGTTTGCAATCAGTTCCCTGGAATCACAATAGTCCATGCATTCAAATATGATTTTTAATTATTTTTTTAATTGAGTTTTCCAATTATAATTAATTGTCTGTGGACAAATGAATTTTTTTTCAATTTTATTTTTTAATTGCCTTGTTCTGAGGCAAGAAGAGTATTTTCTCGATTAAGTTTTTAAATGTGAAAACTATTTGGAACATTGCCATTGAGAGAATTTGCAAAATGCTTGCCAGGCTATGAAGACAACATCAACTGAACCTTTGTGATGACTGGCTCCGAATCTACGGCCTTGCCCTCATTACATACACAGATAAGTTTTGTTTGTTTGTTTGTTGTTTAATGCTGTGCTCAGCAATATTCAAGCTATATGACGGCGGTCTGTATATAATCGAGTCTGGACCAGAAAATCCAGTGATTGACATCATGAGATCGATCCCCGCAATTGAGATAAGGTGACATGCATCAACCAACTCAGCGAGCCTGACCACCCGATCCCGTTAGTCGCCTCTTATGCCAAGCATAGTCGCCTTTTACGGCAAGCATGGGTTGCTGAAGACCTATTCTATCCGGGATCTTCATGGGTCACACAGCTAAGTCGTTGATCAACATCTCTACCTTGTACACAGGGTCTTCTTAAACATTTTACATGAATGAAATAAATGCTTAATATTTTACAGCAACCAAAAGTTCCACAACAAATTACTACTCCATGACTTTATGTCAATCATCCTGTCTCACCTTCTCTCATCTCGTCCCGAGACTTCATGCGCTGGATGAAGCCCTGACTCTTGTTTTTCCGGAACTGCTCGAAGGGGTCTTTCATGTCAATGCCGATGCCCTTAAACATGTCCTGCCTGTCTCGAACATCTCCAGCCTCGATCGGGTCCACAATCCCCTGTTCTGAAGCCCCCAGGCCTTTGCCGCCCCAGCCTACACAAGGAAATGATATTGATCATAAGATGGAAGATACATCAGTGTAGCAAAAAAAGAAAAGAACATGGACTCCCTTAATTTTGTATACTGTATTAGAGTGTATATATATATGCTGCAACAGAAAACCTATAGTAATATGGATTATTTGAGTGTTCTTTAACTTCTTTTGAGTAGTATATATCATTATGGATCTGCTCTCATGTCACAAGATCTTTTTCACGCCTAGGTACTTGGGTGTGTACCAAGAAGCAATGATATCAGTAAGTAATGATGCCAGTAAGCAATGGTATCAGCAATTCATGATTTCAATAAGCAATGAAATCAGTAAGCAATGATATCAGTAAGCAATGATATCAGTTAGCAACGATATCAGTAAGCAGTGATAACAGTAGCACTGCCATCAGTAAGGAATGACTAGCATGACTAGTAAGCTTTGTTTGTTTGTTCGTTGGTTAACGCCATACTCAGAAATATTCCTGCTATATGACGACAGCCTGTAAATATAGTAAATATAAGCATAGTCAGGGGGTTTTCCGGCAAGAATGGGTTGCTGAAAACGTTTTATTTGTTTGTTTGTTGTTTAGTGCCTCACTCAGCAATATTCAAGCTATATGAAGGGCGGTCTTTAAATAATTGAATTTGGACTAGACAATCCAGTGATTGACATCATGAGCATCGATCCACACAATTGGCATATGATGACATGCATCAACTAACTCAGCGAGCCTGACCACCCGATCCCATTAGTCGCCTCTTAAGACAAGCATAGTTGCCTTTTACGACAAGCATAGTCGCCTTTTACGGCAGGCATGGGTTGCTGAAGACCTATTCTAATCTTCACATGTCATATGATTTCTTATTGGGTCTAGACCAGACAAGTGATTGACAACATGACCATTGATTCACGCAATCGGGATACAATGACATGCATCAACCAAGTCGATCAACCGATCCCGTTAGTTGCCTCTTACGACAAGCATAGTCGCCTTTTACAGCAAGCATGGGTTGCTGGAGATCTTTTCTAACCCGATCTTCTCACAATGATATCACTTAGCAATGGTATCAGTGAACATTAATGTTTGACTTGATATCAGAAACAAAGAAACAAATCCACAGAACACAGCGTTAACAACACTCTTTACGTCATGTTGTTGTGTCTTGAGAATGTTGCTTGTTTCAGCAAACACCCAGCAGATGACTTGAATGGGGAAGCAGGATGTTTAACTATTGTGTCTCTGTCAAGTATGGGAGTGAGTGAGTGAGTGAGTGAGTTGGGTTTAACACTATTCCAGTTATATCGCGGCGTGTCAGCTTAATGTGGGAGGAAAGCCCGAAGTGATGCAGGTCTCAGACGTTTACCACTTCGGTGAAACCCACAAGCACGGGTATGGTGCTAACAAACCTAGAAACATAATCGGGGCGAACCAGGATTCGAACCTACAATCATAGGTTTCTGGCATTCCCAAGGGATGCAACTCTGCACAGCAAATCGCGGCGCCTTAGAAGACTGGGCCACCCGTGCCCCCTATGGCTACAAGGAACAGGTTGTCATATCCCCAACCTCAGATCCAGCTGAAGCATCATGGGACTCAAGATCATAGAGGTGGTACAATATCTCCACGTACCCATCTTCCTCAGCAGCATGTGGCCCTTGTTGTCTTCTCCCAGTCGGGGCTCTGAGGAGAGTGAAGGAAGGGGGTCGAAGCTGGCCATACTTCCGAACGAGCTGCCCCTGCAGGTAGAAATACAAGAGTGGGTGAGTGAGTGAGTGCAGATAGAAAATAGTGAGTGAGTGAGTTGGGTTTAATGGCGTGTCAGCATAATGTGATAGGGAAACCTGAAGTGATGCAGGTCTCTGATGTTTTACACTTTGGTGGGACCCACGAGCACGGGTATGGTGCTTACAGACCTAGAAGCATAATTGGGGAGAACTGTGATTGGAACCCATGATCATAGGTTTCTGGCGTGCACAAGGGATGCAAAGTCTGCACAGCACATCGCGGCACCTCAGACAACTGGGACACCTGTGCCCCGAATAGGAAGTATGTTTGTTTGTTGTTTAACGCCGCATTCAGCAATATTCCAGCTATAAGACGGCGGTCTGTAAAAAATCAAAACTGGACCAGACTATCCATTTTTTTTAGATCATGAGCATCGGTCTATGAGTGAGTGAGTGAGTGAGTGAGTGAGTGGGTGGGTGGGTGGGTGGGTGTGTGAGTGTGTGAGTGAGTTGTGTTTTAGTGTCACTATGAACAGTACTTCAGCTACATCATTGCATGAAATGTCCGAAGTGATGCAGGTCTACCCGACTTTGCCACCCATGCCTTCCACCATCAAACTGTCAATGCTGAACTGTGTTCTGTTGTGATATATAAATAATCTATAGTGTGACTACCACCCTCGTGGTCGGAGAGCGGAAGGTCGGGGGGTTTGATCCCTCCATGCCCCCAGAATCAACAGTGCAAGACAAGCATGGGATACTGAACAAGTGTATAAGTGTATTTACTCCCCGGGTACCCTACCCCCTATTACCCAGCCCTACCCGGGTACCAACTGTAGGTCTCAAAAAGTAGGTACACACTGTCCTATTGGGAAAAGTACTGTATTTAGACTGTATTTTGACTGTATTTAGATACATGTATGAAACGATCTGGTCATGCATACACTGAAGTTGACTGAAGTTTTATTTTTATTCAAACATATAAAAGCCAGGGAATATAAAACAAAAGGAATGGGCGTAGTAGTCAGAAAGAACTTCAAACATTAGTGACTTGTAGTTTAAACACAGAGTTTTAGGTACCCAGGTCCTACTCAGTACCCACCCGACCCGAGTACCCGAGTTACCCATCCCAGCCCTAGTATGGGGTACTTATTCTGCCCCTGACAAGTGAGTGAGTGAGTGAGTATGGTTTTACACCGCTTTTAGCAATATTCCAGCAATATCATGGCGGGGGACACCAGAAATGGGCTTCACACTGTACCCATGTCGGGAATCGAACCCGGGTCTTCGGCGTGACGAGCGAACGCTTTAACCACTTGCTACCCGACCGCCCCCCCTGACAAGTGAAGAGATGGACATAATACATACATGCTTGGCGGCGTCGGGCTGCGGGACTTTCCCCGGGGTGGTGGAGGCAGCACCTCCGCAGGAGTGGGTGATCGACTACTCGGCAGGTATGGCAATGGTGATCTTGACCTTGACCTAGATCGTGACCCTGATCTTGAGTGAGATCTTGAGCGAGATCTTGATCTGGACCTCGAACGTGACCTGTTCAAATTGAGATAATATCTTTTCTCACTGACCTGTAAAGAATCCACTGATTGAAGGTACGAGTACCAACTTTTACACATTCATATGAGCATATATAACCAATTTTGTAACCAAGATCATGACCAACTGAAGTGTCTATCTGCAGTCATCACTAATGTTGTTTTTGTTGAACGTAAGTTGTTGTACTTATGTTATGGGGGAGGTCACACTCAAGAATTAAATTTAATTTTTGTGAGTTCATTTTAGTGTGAACCTTCATAGATTGAGGGCACAACTGTATAAATGTCAGATCTTGTATACACAATATTATTTAGCATTGTGACTTCATGTCCCACTGACCACCACACAACAACCAGTTGAAAAGTGGAGGAAAATATTTCCTCAAAACGAGAGATGACAACGAATGTATGCTTAAACTGTTCAACAGTAACATCTTTTGGTCTTGTTACAATGCGGTATACGGAAGAATCAGAGTTGAGGTCATTTCAAGAATACGTGAATCTCGTGATAAAACATAGATATATATATATATGAACGTCAAAATGTGTCGTTCAAATGTTTATCATATCATGTGACCAGCCTTTCATTCGATGGAGAAGCTGTATATCATGAAAACCTCACATACAAATATTACATAGAAACAATTCATTTCTTCATGGATTAGATTCTTTGCAGAGTTGAGTCCCTAAACTGTGCCAGGATCTGCTGATTGACACTCTCTCCCCGGTTATGGATTGTCAACAAATGCTATTGTAGACTAATGTCAGAGGAAGGCTCTAAGTGATGCATGTCAGTAAAGATGGGAATGGTGTTGACAGACCAAGAATCATAATCTGGGTAAATGAGGGATTCAAACTCACAAGCAGCTCTTGGGACAAGGGACACAACTCCTGGAGTAGCTGGAGTAGCCTAATACCCAATGTCAACATATAGTGTACACGATAAATGGTGTTGACAGACCAAGAATCATAATCTGGGTAAATGAGGGATTCAAACTCACAAGCAGCTCTTGGGACAAGGGACACAACTCCTGGAGTAGCCTGATACCGAATGTCAACACATAGTGTACACGATAAATGACGTGTTATCGATGTTTACCACTGTTCTGATTTGACATGATGAAGTTGACAAATGAAGAGAAAACTTTGATGTGCAACAGTGTCCATCGATAAATATTTCAGTCTATCCTTTGTACTTTACATCTCCAAACAAATATTAACCAGCCCCAAACTTGTTTCTTGGTCATATATTAGGAAAATAGCTTCCTGAAAACCTACAAGCAACCTTTAAGACACTTTTGGTGTTGTTTTAAGTCCACAGTAGGCAAGTGTTGAAAAGATTGAGGTCAAATTCTTATTCATATGAAAACATCTAAAACATGATTTTTACATGTTTTTCTCATTTCAAGAATTGAGCAGATTCAGTGTGCCCGAAGGGTCCTTATTGTGACTCAGCCTTTCCAAGGATAAACTTAATGATACTAAAAGTTGAAAAAAGACAAATGGATCGTGGGTGAAGCTGCGTCTTACCCATACCTTGACCTTCGTCTTCTCTCCCCGCTGTTGTATCTGCGCCTCCTCCTGGGAGGGGAAGGTGACCTTGCTCTTGTCCTGGGTGGGGACCATGACCTTGACCTACTTCTTTCACGATCTTGCAGATATTTTGCAGGATTTTCTGCCATCTCTTGCTCTTTGATTTTCTTTGCCCTCTGTTTGGCTTTGAAGAACTCATAGAGTCCCAATTTCTCCCATCCCTCGCTGTAAAGACAAATGACTGATTTCTAATTAAGTGGCTATGTCAAGAAGATATCTGAAGTATATTAATCTCACTAAAATCAGATCTTTCACTCTGTTACAATACCTATCTGTGATATGGTGACCAGACCGTTAGTCTGAGACTAATTCAAATATAGGACTTGTTGTTTTCTCCCATAATAATACATGAACCACTAGTCAGAAAAAGTGTTCCTGTGACTTTTATAACCAGCAGTAAAGAGAGATTTACTATCCGACAGTGGTCAATCCTGGAATTATTCTTAGCCTTAATCAATGCAACTAATTCTCCCAGGTCACTGAAGAATGCTTAATTCTGACTGGTTATAATGAGGTATCATCCTTCCATTTGATACCTCTAAATTAGGCCTTTTCACACAAAAACCATGTATGAATACATCAATTACCTACATATCAAACCATAAAACATAAGGCTGCCGATCAGAACTGCATACGTTCAATATCGAAAAATTCTCGAATGTTTTTGGCGACAATTTGGACATCCTAGACCTTAAGCCTAGCTTGATGATGAGATGACAATACCAAGAGCCTTGTACCAAATTTAAAATCAATCTCATCAAAATCAGATCTTTGTTCTTGCTACCATAAAACAATGATCTGAGGACATCCTAGAACGGCTCACGTCAGAACGACCATCCATCTGACCAATCAGAGCCCTGCTTAACATATCGGGAAAGTGACAGTCGGGAAGTGTTTCCTTATCATGCAATCTTGAAAATGTCAACATGGGGTATTCCAAAAGACAGTTATGGGCTTTTCGACTGATTCTGTGAAACTCATCGTTCAATGGGATTACATTTGAAATGGAAGAGACTTTCCATAACCTGCAGGAAATTCTGACACACAATCTCGGCCTTTTATTCCAGAATTTTTGAACCAATATTTTTTCAAAGTGTTTGTCTGGATTGGAAGGCGCCAGTTTGGAACTAGTGCCGTAAAGCTTGAGAAAGTTGCTTTCTGATTGGCAAATGTCGACTTCTTGTTAGTCATTTCATTGGTCAAATTCACAAAAGGTCGATCTGACAATGTCTGACATGACCCGTAATTGGATGTCCTCAGATCTTTGTTCAGCGGTAGTGTCAGATCTTTGTTCAGCGGTAGTGTCAGATCTTTGTTTAGTGGTAGTGAGAACTAAGATCTGAGGTTAATAAGACTGATTAAAAATAAGAGACTACCTGAAACTTCAAAATACAGTAGGTCACAATTAGTCTCCTAACTGAACATTAAACTGAATAAAAAGAGGTAAAAGTGTTTTGTGTACTGACTACCTGTCACGAGGCCTCTCGTGGCTGGGGTGGCTGTAGAAGGCTTCCACGGCGGCCAGCAGACGGTCACTGGGGGGCATCGGGGGCGGCAGTCGGATGTCGTTGGGGTCCAGGGCCTTGTACTCTGTGTCCTCCAGCTGGGATAAACGATCATAGGGAACATCAGTGACTAAATTATTCCTCAGAAGAGCCAAGGATTCTCAAAATAGCCGTGATATTGCGGATGTGGCGTTAACTGAGAGGCTTGCAATAATAGGCAGTCCTAGCGTATTTGATTCAAGTCCCTCAAAAATCTGATTTTGTTTGTGTTCTTTTACTCACAGACAATGTCTCAGACTGACGCAAATCAATAATTACAATGTCTAGGCCAAGACAAATGGCTATCCGATCATGGAGCATAGTCTCCCTTGAGGCAACCAACCTGATGATTATATTCAGCGAGTGAATGGTTTTACGCTGCTTTTAGCAATATTCCAACATCACAGCGGGGGACACCTGAAATGGGCTTTACACATTGTACCCATGTCGGGATTCAAACCCGGCTCTTCGGCGTGACGAGTGACTGCTTTAACCACTAGGCTACCCGACTGCCCCTGATTATAGTCTATCTCCTATGACGTAGGACATTTCACCCTTCCAGCATTCGTACATAGCTGTGATGGATACACAGTACATTGGAACAGGGAGGACCGGTTGTCAGGGACTTCAAACCAAATCAAGTTTTCTTGTCAGGCAAATTAGGAAAATATGTGCATTAGGATTCTTTCATATTTTCTTTCATTCAGAAGTAACATTGTATTTGAACACTGCATTCAATGCAGTAATGTGAGACTAAGCTTTGAACCCTCCTCTCCTTGGTCCTGTTATCAGTGAAATACAAGTCACCTCCACCATGCCATCACCTTGGTCATAAGGTCAACCCAATCTACACAAAGGAGTTGAGTTAACTGCTGGCCTGTTGGACCATTGCCAGTTAAAATAATAAAAGATTGCTGAAAAGTAAAGTAAATGGCCCGTCTGGCTCGTCAAAGTTTCACCCCTTCTATGTATGTTTAAGTCTTTCAATAGGACACTGCTCATGAATCATGTAGTTTCAATGAGAAAATCTTTAGGGGAATGCGATCATGTGAATGGTTACCCCAAAGAAAGATATATCCCGATCTGCTCGTTAGAAGGACACAACTGGCGGCCATTGTGTAATGTTGTGTACAACCACATCTTTGTTTGCTCATAAATTGCCAAAAATGAGGCAAATGGAAGCCAAGATTTAATGCAAGTCCAAGAAAAAGCATTTTAGGGGTGAAGAATTCTAAAAAAATTATAGTCCTCTTCGTAACTCAGTTGCTATGTGACCTCAGGTTCCGCTGATTTGGAGCCTCAATCAATTAGTTGTGGGCCAGTTAGTTTGGAAAAGGACAAGAAACTTTTGAAAGGAGCAAGCCCTGCTGGCTTCATACAATTGTTTTGTTAAATCTCCCCTTGTACATCAAGTGACAATGCTAAGTATTCAATCAAGAAAGACTGAAGATATTTTCAATGGAAAATGAGCCCTCTTGTACTGAAACCCATGAAACAACTACATCACAGCACTCTCTGCTCCCTCACCTTGACCAGCGGAGCCATCAGTCCAGCGGGCAGCTCGTGGTAGGGGACGGAGGGGGTGAGGTCCATGTCCAGGGGGAGCATGGAGGGAGGGGGAGGCAAGGCTGGGAATCCAGGGGGAGGCTTGCTCAGGTCTGGGAGGGGCAGCGGCAAGGGAGCAGCCGGGGGCGGGCCGCGGAAATCTGCAGGTGGCATCCCTCGGGGACCTAAAACGAACAGTGCACCTCACATCAACATGTCCAGTTTAGACCTGAAGCCAACAATATAACATGGCATTCCATCACTTATTCTTGTGAATGTCAACTAAAATTAATATCTGCATGAACTGACCTGATCAACATTTTCAGTGTAAGCCAATGGCCAACAGTATATTATTTAACTCATTCTTCCCGATGTGACATACTATTAATCACTGTTGAGGCAGTCTTAGTCTGTCTCACAGCCACTGAACTAGATTATTTCTCCTTCACCTCAGCCCTTACTGTAAAGCTAAAGGCTACATGAAGCAAGTCTAGATTTTCCAGGTTCTGAACATCATCTTCTAGGGCTCCTTTTCAATTTAAATGGAGTTGTTTGTTTCTATCAATATTATATATTTGCAGTGTTAGTCTGAGGCAATCTGTGAGGTATCCAAATCTGGACCAGTTAAACAAGTGATGAACCCTCTGGGCATCGATCCATGCTATCACACAGCCAGTGTCTCTTGGCATCATCACCCAATCTTCACCTAAGTTGAAACAATCAAGGAGTACTAATGGAAAGTTCTGTCTCAGGCTACAGAGATGGAACATTACCTGTTGATTCTTCTCTTTTTGTTGCCTGACCCTGATTTAGACTTACTCATGCCACAATTTAGACTTACCTAGTCCATGATTTAGACTTACCCAGTCCATGATTTGGACTTACCCAGACCCTGATATAGACTTTCCCAGTCCACAATTTAGACTTACCCAGTCCATGATTTGGACTTACCCAGACCCTGATATAGACTTTCCCAGTCCTGATATAGACTTACTCAGTCCATGATTTTGACTAACCCAGTCCACAATTTAGACTTACCCAGACCCTGACATAGACTTACCCAGTCCACAATTTAGACTTACCCAGACCATGATTTAGATTAACACAGTCCACAATTTAGACTTACCCAGACCATGATTAAGACTTACCCAGGCCATGATTTAGACTTACCCAGTCCATGATTTAGACTTACCCAGTCCACAATTTAGACTTACCCAGTCCATGGGAGTAATCAAACTGTTGTGGAGGGGGTCTCTGGTTGAAGCCGGGGGGTGGGGTATTGAACAGCGGCATGCCCGGGGGTCGCTGTGAGAACGCTCCTGGGAACGCTGGGCCAGGACCAAGGGGTGGCGGCTGTAAGGGAGATAAATCATCTATCATCCAAATCTGGCTTCCACAAGAGATCACGCGATAACACCTAGGAAATATCGCTGCAATCAATCTCATTATAATCAATTCTCACTGTCGCTAAACAATGATCTGAGGACATCCCATTACGGGTCATGTCACAACAACCTTTTATTTGACCAATCAGAGCGTCGCTTACCAGATCTAGAAAGTAACAGTTGGAATGTGCTTTCTAATCATGCAACATAAAAAAGATTAACAACAGTTGAAGACAAAATCACTGTCTATCTCTCACTTAAATGGGATCAACATCTGAACAGAAGAGAATTTGCATAACCATACAATCTCGGCCATCTGTTAGACATTCTAGGATGTTCTTTTGTTCAGTTTTCAAATTTTGAATAGAGAACTTTGTCTAAATATTTTTCAAAGTTCATAGTCAGGAACGAAAGTCGCCAGTTTGAAACTAGTGCAGTGGAGCTGCTTTCTGATTGGTTAGTGTCGACTTCTTGTTAGTAATTTGACTGGTCAGTCCAAAAAAAAATTGTGAAAAGTTGTTCTGAGGTGGAGCGAGAACTAAGAATGCAATGAAATCACATCACAATACTTTGAAAACTATTGTGAAATCATCGGTTACCATCAAATGATGCCATATTCGATGTAATAAGCGCCCCTCTCTAATAAGCGCCCACGGCGATATTTGCTGATATATTGGCTAGTGAACAATCCCAATTAGTACCCCTTCCAATTGATCAATGTACACAAGACTTATTTATTTGTGTATAATACGTGTGTTATATGCATCCTTAATTGTGGGAAATTAGATTCTGGAAAAAATATATATGTCGTATAAAAACATTTCAGGCTGTCAGCATAAACCACAAAATTTACTTTTTTTCCTCCAAAATAATATTCTAATAAGAGGCCCCTATTTCTAATTTTGAGAGCACCCTGGGCGCTTATTATGTCGAATACGGTACACTATTCTCTCTGCCACTGAAGCTGGTTAGCTGTACTTCATACATTGAATACACTGCTTACATATAGTTGTTTACAAACTGAAAATATTCAGCCATATTCCAGCTGTAATGGGCGGCCTGTAAATAATCGTGTCTGGGCCATGCACACAAGTAAATGAAATCATGTGCAAAGATCCTTTAATTTCATTTATTTTAACCTAGAAACATAATCGGTTCACCCCGAGATTTACCCCAACAAATGTCTGAGACCTGCATCACTTCGGGCCTTCCTCCCACATTAAGCTGACACGGGGTGGAATACGCTTCAGCAATCCATGCTGGCCGCAAAAGGCGACTATCCTTGATCAAACAAGATCAGGTGGTCAGGCTTGCTGACTTTGTTGATGCATGTCATCATATCCCAATTGTGTGGATCAATGCTCATGATGTCAATCACTGGATTGTCTTGTCCAGACTTGATTATTTACAGATCGCCGTCATATAGCTTGAATACTGCTGAGTGCGGTGTTAAACAACATCAAATAAACAAATCCAGGTGAATCAACCTTTTATTTCAGCCTACCTGAGACAAATTTGGGGGTCCCGGGGACTGCTGTGGGGGAGGTCCTCCATCCATGCCCATCCCGATCCCCATTGGCCCTGGTCTCATGGGTGGGGGTTTGTCTTCCTCAGGTGTGCGGGGTGGGTTCTGTGGGCCCGAACTGGGTGGCATGTTCACGCCTGGCGGCATGCTTGTGGCTAACACTGGATCCCCACTAGGTGGCACTGACTGTATGAGTACAGGCGCACCTGTGTTGACCACTCCACCTGAGACGCTCCCCGGAACCATACTGATCGGTGGTGGTGCTGTGGTTACTGAAAGTGGAACGAGTGACATGAATATTTACGCCACAACAATATATTTCATGACCATGAACTTTTCGGCTGATTTTAGCATTGTAACTGGATTATTGTGAGCTGAGTTTACTAGGTCAAACTGAATGTTACGCGGCTCGGGGACCGGATTAGTTGATAAAGTCCCAGACTCTTCATATATGACAAACTAGGAGTGTAACGATATATCAAACTATCAATGCATTGTAGTTGTTTTCATATGATTGTACTCTATCGATAGGAATCTAAAATGCCAATAGTACTGCCGATAGTATGAATAACAATAGTTTCAACAGTTGCAATTAGTTATAAATAACACAAATTATGTGTAAAAAAACTCTGTTGAAATACAAACCTGTCATGTGTTGATTGGCAAAAATGTTGTATTCATATTCGAGTTATTTCCCTTTGATTTGAGTTGCACCAGGGAGGAAACTGCTGACTTTGACACTGGCGGCAATACCTTATTATTTTCTAGTACATTGATGGTTACTCTTGCAATACAATTGTGAAAGTAGCCACTAGTGACACCCCTTTGACAAACTATGATGAAAAAACATCACTGCAGGGATCATGGAATTGATACAACTGAGAATAACTTTGTCTGTTATATACATAACCATAAACATAAGCAGAGGCAGGGATTTCTCTCGACCTGCTCAGAGGCCAATATTCGGCCCTAAGTCTGCAGCAAAAATTCCCAAGTTAAAAAAATAATTTCCCAATACCTCAGAATTTACATATTTAAGAGCATTAAAAAATCAAATTTTGAACAAAATCACACATAGTTCCCCAATTTGCCTGCATAAGACATGCAAGTCATTGCCTAGTAAAAAGATGGTTTGATATCAATAGTATTGTGGTAACGGGGAGATACGTCAATTTGACATCTGTGGTTATTTCCTGAATGTAGTGGAGGCTGCCATGCGGCATCCAGCAGTCGACGCACCTGCTTGTTGCTGCTGCAGCTGCAGGCCCTGCTTCTGTGACTGCAGCTGTGTCAGCTGGCTGTTGAGGTGGTTCACAAAGTCCTGGTGCTGCTTCTGAAGGCCGGCATACTGGGCCTGGATCTTGGCTGTCACCTGAGTCACGATCTGGGCATTGTCCGTGATCAGACTGGCCTGTAGAGAGACAGGTAGACTTAGGTGAGTCAGGTGTTAAGGATCCCCATACAAGCACTATACATAACCCGTAAGGTCAGGGCTGGTATGGCTGTAGCCCCACCCAACTGCTCTGACTCTGAATGATCAACATACAAGCACTATACATAACCCGTAAGGTCAGGGCTAGTATGGCTGTAGCCCCACCCACCTGCTCTGACTCTGAATGATCAACATACAAGCACTATACATAACCCGTAAGGTCAGGGCTAGTATGGTTGTAGCCCCACCCACCTGCTCTGAGTCTGAATGATCAACATACAAGCACTATACATAACCCGTAAGGTCAGGGCAAGTACGGCTGTAGCCCCACCCACCTGCTCTGACTCTGAATGATCAACATACAAGCACTATACATAACCCGTAAGGTCAGGGCAAGTACGGCTGTAGCCCTACCCATCCGCTCCTCTCCCCCAACTCACCTGATAGTTCGACAACGACTGACTGGGCTGCTTCATTTGCTGCAACAAAAGGAAGAAAAGGTTTATTGTCTGAGATCACCACAAGCATTTATTTGAAAATAAAAACAAACTTGGGAAGTGTTTTTCACCATATAATAAAAGGAAATACGCTCTTTAGTATGAATAACTGCTCCTGATAATAACTTGGCAGCTACCATGTGACAATTTGATTTTATTCTTACTTGGTGAAACATTAGAATAACACAGAACCTGTTTAATGTTGCACTGTGCAGTCAGCAATGTCAAGGTCTTCACATAACCCATCATGGGAAGCAAACCTCTGACTTCAGCGAGGAGGGCAAACGCTAACACCACAAGGCTATCAACAGTCCACTTCAAAGGAAGTGCAGCAGTTGAGTAATGATCAGTTACGGGTAACTATGGCTACCCTGCTCATTTCCAAATCTAATGAGTGAGTGAGTGAGTTGGGTTGGGTTTAATGCAGCTTTTAACAGTATTCCAGTTATATCGCGGCGTGTCAGCTTAATGTGGGAGGAAAGCTCGAAGTGATGCGAGTCTCAGACGCTTACCACTTCGGTGAAACCCACGAGCACGGGTATGGTGCTGACAAACCTAGAAACATAATTGGGGCGAACCGGGATTTCGAACCCACAATCATAGGTTTCTGGCGTGCCCAAGGGACGCAACTCTGCACAGCGCCTTAGTGGCACCTTAGACGACTGGGCCACCCGTGCCCCTCCAAATCTAATGAGTGTGTTGGGCTTGATGCTGTTTTGAATAGCCTATCACAGTGTGTCAGCTTGATGCTGTTTTGAATAGCCTATCACAGTGTGTCAGCTTGATGCTGTTTTGAATAGCCTATCACAGTGTGTCAACTTGATGCTGTTTTGAATAGCCTATCACAGTGTGTCAGCTTGATGCTGTTTTGAATAGCCTATCACAGTGTCAGCTTGATGCTGTTTTGAATAGCCTATCACGTTGTGTCAACTTGATGCTGTTTTGAATAGCCTATCACAGTGTCAGCTTGATGCTGTTTTGAATAGCCTATCACAGTGTGTCAACTTGATGCTGTTTTGAATAGCCTATCACGTTGTGTCAACTTGATGCTGTTTTGAATAGCCTATCACAGTGTGTCAGCTTGATGCTGTTTTGAATAGCCTATCACAGTGTGTCAACTTGAGGCTGTTTTGAATAGCCTATCACGTTGTGTCAACTTGAGGCTGTTTTGAATAGCCTATCACAGTGTCAGCTTGATGCTGTTTTGAATAGCCTATCACAGTGTGTCAACTTGATGCTGTTTTGAATAGCCTATCACGTTGTGTCAACTTGAGGCTGTTTTGAATAGCCTATCACAGTGTGTCAGCTTGATGCTGTTTTGAATAGCCTATCACAGTGTGTCAACTTGATGCTGTTTTGAATAGCCTATCACAGTGTGTCAGCTTGATGCTGTTTTGAATAGCCTATCACAGTGTCAGCTTGATGCTGTTTTGAATAGCCTATCACGTTGTGTCAACTTGAGGCTGTTTTGAATAGCCTATCACGTTGTGTCAACTTGAGGCTGTTTTGAATAGCCTATCACAGTGTCAGCTTGATGCTGTTTTGAATAGCCTATCACAGTGTGTCAACTTGATGCTGTTTTGAATAGCCTATCACGTTGTGTCAACTTGAGGCTGTTTTGAATAGCCTATCACAGTGTGTCAGCTTGATGCTGTTTTGAATAGCCTATCACAGTGTGTCAACTTGATGCTGTTTTGAATTGCCTATCACAGTGTGTCAACTTGATGCTGTTTTGAATAGCCTATCACAGTGTGTCAACTTGATGCTGTTTTGAATAGCCTATCACGTTGTGTCAACTTGAGGCTGTTTTGAATAGCCTATCACAGTGTGTCAGCTTGATGCTGTTTTGAATAGCCTATCACAGTGTGTCAGCTTGATGCTGTTTTGAATAGCCTATCACAGTGTGTCAACTTGAGGCTGTTTTGAATAGCCTATCACAGTGTGTCAACTTGATGCTGTTTTGAATAGCCTATCACAGTGTGTCAACTTGATGCTGTTTTGAATAGCCTATCACAGTGTGTCAGCTTGATGCTGTTTTGAATTGCCTATCACAGTGTGTCAACTTGATGCTGTTTTGAATAGCCTATCACAGTGTGTCAACTTGAGGCTGTTTTGAATAGCCTATCACAGTGTGTCAACTTGATGCTGTTTTGAATAGCCTATCACAGTGTGTCAACTTGATGCTGTTTTGAATAGCCTATCACACTGTGTCAACTTGAGGCTGTTTTGAATAGCCTATCACAGTGTGTCAGCTTGATGGAGGATGGCCCACTGAGGGCCTTTACCATGTTGGTGTAATCTACAAGCACAGGTATGGTGCTAACTGATCATGAATCACAACCAGGGTGAATCCCATGGCAATACAATCCTGGCATGTCTAAGGGACGCAACTCTGAACGGATAATGGCAGCACCTTAGACTGGGTAACCATCCCCAGCGGAACTTAAAAAGAAATACCTTCACCTAGCTACTCTTAGGCAAACATGACACAGAAAATCATACACAAAAACAAAAACAAAACAAAACAACAACAAATAGATGTCCTGCACAGGGTTGTGTTGAAACATAATGTTCAGAGCACCCACTCAACAAAGCCTCCCAGCCAAAGATACACCACATCTCATTGAACATTCAAGTGAGGGACAAGACAATGACTTTGTGCCATCTAAGCATAGCAAGAAAAGAGTTGGTTTTGAGATTGGGTGAGGTGAGGTGAAATGGGGTTCAACGTCGCGTCCAAGATTATTGCACTTATATAGCGACGTGCATGCACATGTGTGTGTGTGTGGCTGCTTGTAGTAGACCGGACTGATGCCGATTTATAGTGCTAGCACACTGGGATACCATGCCGCAGTTTAACATGAATACCCCACTCAGACACAGTATACTGACTCCGAGCCAACCAGTCCTTGTTTTAGCCCCTTAATGCCGAGCGCCAGACAGGGCAACAACAAGTACCATCTTTTAACGTCTTTTGGTATGACGCGGCCGGGGATCGAACTCAGGACCTTCTGCTCGCCGGGCAGTCGCTCTACCACTAGACCATGGAGGCGGTCCTTTTTGAGATTGGGAATTATGTACAGGGCATTAGCTAGTACAGAAACATCAGGAATACAGTTAATCCACTCCCCCAACAAGGGAACATCCGTGCTCAGACGAGTCCAAATTTACTACCTGGGTACCCACCCTGCTATTACCTGACCCTACCTGGGTACCCACCCTGCTATTACCTGACCCTACCCGGGTACCCACCCTGCTATTACCTGACCCTACCTGGGTACCCACCCTGCTATTACCTGACCCTACCTGGGTACCCACCCTGCTATTACCTGACCCTACCTGGGTACCCACCCTGCTATTACCTGACCCTACCCGGGTACCCACCCTGCTATTACCTGACCCTACCCGGGTACCCACCCTGCTATTACCTGACCCTACCTGGGTACCCACCCTGCTATTACCTGACCCTACCTGGGTACCCACCCTGCTATTACCTGACCCTACCTGGGTACCCACCCTGCTATTACCTGACCCTACCTGGGTACCCACCCTGCTATTACCTGACCCTACCCGGGTACCCACCCTGCTATTACCTGACCCTACCTGGGTACCCACCCTGCTATTACCTGACCCTACCTGGGTACCCACCCTGCTATTACCTGACCCTACCTGGGTACCCACCCTGCTATTACCTGACCCTACCCGGGTACCTATCCTGCAATTACCTGACCCTACCTGGGTACCCACCCTGCTATTACCTGACCCTACCTGGGTACCCACCCTGCTATTACCTGACCCTACCTGGGTACCCACCCTGCTATTACCTGACCCTACCCGGGTACCCATCCTGCTATTACCTGACCCTACCGGGGTACCCACTGTAGGTCCCAAGAGTTGGGTAGAAAATGTCTCATTGGGAATAGTTTGACTGTAGCCTTAGCAAAATGTATTTAGATACACGTAATAACGATCTGGTCATGCATACACTGAAGTTGATTAAGTTTTAATTCTATTTAAACATATAAAAGTCGGAATGGGTACATAGTCAAAGAAATGTGAACATTAGTGACTTGTAGTTTAACCATAGAATTCTAGATAATTTTTGTCATAAAACAATATATCACGTGACTAACCACGGGTCCGGGTAGTCCTGTGGGTACCCGGATACTGCTCAGTACCCATCTGACCCAAGTACCCGACTTGCCCGTCCCAGCCCTAGTGCTCAGTACCCATCTGACCCAAGTACCCGACTTGCCCGCCCCAGCCCTAGTGCTCAGTACCCATCTGACCCAAGTACCCGACTTGCCCGTCCCAGCCCTAGTGCTCAGTACCCATCTGACCCAAGTACCTGACTTGCCTGTCCCAGCCCTAGTGCTCAGTACCCATCTGACCCAAGTACCCGACTTGCCCGTCCCAGCCCTAGTGCTCAGTACCCATCTGACCCAAGTACCCGACTTGCCCGCCCCAGCCCTAGTGCTCAGTACCCATCTGACCCAAGTACCCGACTTGCCCGTCCCAGCCCTAGTGACCCTAGTGACCCAAGTACCCATCTGACCCAAGTACCCATCTGACCCAAGTACCCGACTTGCCCGTCCCAGCCCTAGTGCTCAGTACCCATCTGACCCAAGTACCCGACTTGCCCGTCCCAGCCCTAGTGCTCAGTCCAGCTGGCAAGGTACAATTACAAGAAAGTGGATCTTTTTCAAAATCTGTGTCCATCTTGTGATCTCAAAAAAGAAACTTCCAAGGAAATAGTATGCTTCTGAAAGAAGTCGTTTTGTTTCTTCTGTGTATTGGGTGGGGATGGGTTAATCTTAGGGAAGTATGTCATAAACCTTGATAAGCGCTCATAACCAAACAAGCTCATAAGCACTTCAAAAATCGTGTGTTACACTTACACAGCATGCCAGCAGTGCTTTACTATTGTCAGCAGCATAGGCTATACAATAATTTTCATAAAGCCAATTAAATGCTTTGTTTCATGTGGCAAGTGCTTCAATCGGCATATCTACTTCCATGGAGTAACCAACCTCCTGTCAGTGATGCCTATATGTTTCTGGTCCTCATCAATCTCATAAAAACCAGATCCTAGATCTCGCTATCGCTAAACAAAGATCTGAGGACATCCAATTACGGGTCACGTCAGAACGACCTTTCATCGAACCAATCAGAGCGTCGCTTACCAGATCATGAAAGTGACAGTCGGAATGTGTTTTCTAATCATTCAACCACGAAATATTTAACATGGGGTATTCCGAATGACAGTTACGGATTTTATGATTTTATCCATACAATCTAGGCTATCTCTAAGCCATTATCTTCTTATCAATTTTAAATGTTTTAATCAAGAATACGTCAAAATATGTTTCGAAGCGTAGTTGCCAGTTTCAAACTGGTGACGTAAAGCTCGAGAAAGCTGCCTTCTGATTGGCTAATGTTGATTTCTTGTCAGTCATTTCATTGGACGGTCAAAATACGCGAAAGGTCGTTCTGACGTGACCCGTAATGGGATGTCCTCAGATTTTTGTTTAGTGGTAGCGAAAACTAAGATCTGATTTTAATGAGATTGTGGTCCCCATCTGCGTCACTTTCAATCTCATACACCAGGATTTTAACAAGGCCTGGTAACTTTAACCTGCTTTCCAAAAATGAACGTACAAACTGCAACTGACACACTATGCCTCTTATGTCTGGGCAGGTTGTGTGTGTGCAAGTTGTGAAGATTCATTAGGGCAGCTAAGACACTTTACTGGACTATTATGAATTGCTGCAAAAAGGGCATTTAATGATTTATTACTGGAGACAACAATGTTTTACCTCCCAATGCTAAAATCATGTAAAGGAACTTGTCTAAAATAAAAAGAAGAAGAAAAAAACCTGCTCGTGTCATCGCATCGTCTTAGGCAAAATCAAAAGACCAGAAATATAATACTGTATATTTTGACTAACAAAGGTATCCGCCATCATCACTGGTATTGGGCAGTGGTCCAGGTAAATTAAGTATCAGTTTGTTTTGTTCGTTTGTTTGTTGTTTAATGCGCACTCAGCAATATTCCAGCTATATGACGGCGGATTGTAAATAATCGAGTCTGAACCAGACAATCCAGTGATTGATATCATGAGCATCGATCCCCGCAATCATGGCAGTTGGGATACCATGACATGCATCAACAAAGTCAACGAGCCTGACCACCCGATGCCGTTAGTCACCTCTTACGACAAGCTTAGTCCCTTTTTACAGCAAACATGGGTTGCTGAAGACCTATTCTCACTCGGACCTTAACAGGTCGAATTAAGCATTAAGTAGAATCATTCTGGAATAGTCCTCAGGAATCTGTCACGAATGTTTGCAGTTACTCTTTGTTGGAACTAAGATCGTTCATGATCAGTAGACAGTATGACTAGACAGAACCCAGTCGAGTTGCTTAGCTTGTGCTGTGCCATATCATGAATTTCGGAAGAACTCTGATAGATAAATGTTTATCTCAAAATAATGTGGGCAAATAAAAATCTGTCGACACTATCCAAGAACAAGAGATGAAACAACTAGAAAGAGAAAAAGCAAAGATGAGAAAATTTGAAATTACAGTGTAAATGTGCATATCTGAAGAATTATCAGTGTCAACCAAGGAATGTGTGTAGTGTGTGATCACAATAACAGTCCGCTTATGAAACATTCAACATCTCAGATGGGATAGCTCATAAAGTGTAACTCTCGTCAAGGCAACAGCGTGCATTCTCAGCTCCCTTGGCATTATGTAAAGAAAGTTTTGCATTCACTTTATGACCTCATCCTACTGGGTGCCATGGAAACCATGAGTATTTTTTTGTTTGTTTCTTGCTTAATGCTCTTACGACAAGCATGGATCTTCATGGACAGGTATTTTTGTGCCGGGATAAATGCACAGATCTTACAAAAAATACTTCACTATATATTTTTTACATCAATTTCAGATCACTGTACACATTTCCTTAAAGAACAGAGCGCCCTCCGACAGAAAGCTAGACAAGCTAGATTTACATTCCAGCCAAAAAAAGCTCACCTTCAGGCCCTAGAGAACATGGAAGCAAGACAAAAAACACCAAATGTAACTAAAAATCCAACTAACTATTCACAATACGTCACTAGCATTCCAACAAACAGAAGCAGTTGCCGGAAAACAACTTAAAAATAGCTCTCACAATTTTCTTCATTTTCGATGAACGTCACTGGACGACATTCTTACACCATTATCAATCTACATCAAAATATCGCAATTTGCAATAAATCAGAAGTTGTTATCCATATAGATGTATGTTTTGTTAATGTTGAATTCAGTTTAACCAGTTTACTTTCTGCATAAGTAATCTAATTAAATTTTTTTTTTTTTAAAACTGTCGGAGAAATACTTACCATATTGAAATTAGAAATAAAATGGTATGTGATGAAATCAAAGTTTAAAGGAGAGAAAGATCAGTTTAAGAATTAAGGCCTCAGACGTGGGTGTTCTAAATGAATATTCATTAATTGCTCAATCAAACGTATTGAGTTTGACATTGACCTGATTTTCACCTTGACCCTAAAAGCCCTAATTTCCTGGTCAGAAGAGGTCCAAATAGACTTGCCCAATTCTGTTTGGTCTATCACATTACATCATGCATTTCTAAACAAAGCTGCGTCTTACAGTCCCAATGTATCTAACCGACTTACAGACTCTCCCTAATGCCCCACACATCCTTCTCATAAGTCAGGAGGGGGCAAAAGTTGCCAAGTCGTCTAAGGCGCCGCGATTCGCTGTGCAGAGTTGCGTCCCTTGGGCAAGCCAGAAACCTATGATTGTGGGTTCGAATCCCGGTTCGCCCTGATTATGTTTCTAGGTTTGTCAACACCATACCCGTGCTCGTGGGTTTCACCGAAGTGGTAAACGTCTAAGACCTGCATCACTTCGGGCTTTTCTCCCACATTAGGCTGACACGCCGTGATATAACTGGAATACTGTTAAAAGCGGCGTTAAACCCAACTCACTCACTCACTCACAAGTCAGGAAGAGTGTCAAGGAGGCAGATTTTATTACTCTTCATCTAGTATGAGGAGTCATCTCCATGATAAAATGTCCCAAGGAATATTAATTATACAGATTTGGCCAAGGGTAAGGTCCTCTGTACCAAAGCCTAAGCTGACTAAATGAGGATTAGGTGGATACAATGGAGGACCCTGCAGATTATATATCATTGCATCCTGATGGTGCGGATGCCTGCTGCCAAATGTTGTCCTGAACGCAATGAGACCGCTGGAGATGGGTACCAAGGGGAGATAACTCCTCATTCTAGATGAATTGTAACACTGTTGTGACTTAGCTGGAATCCTGCTGACAAAAAACAGCAGTCTCACTCACTCACTCACTCACTCACCCACCCACTAACTCACTCTGCCTATGCTTCACCTACCTCAATTGTGTCTTGATCAAAATATTTATTGTGTTCCCAGAGAGACAGCAGCTATAAAAAACAATCATATATATAAATCACTAGTTATTAGTAAATATTAAAGCATACATTTCATCCCTCACATGAATATCAACAGTGAATACAAATCCTTTTCCTTTATCCAACTAAAGTAGGATGCAGTATTTCCATTTATATGAAATAACATTGGACATGTAACACAGAGTTGTCTCCCTTGCAATGATATCATCACAGGCTTATCAACCTTGCTTTTTCTTTCAGCTCACCAAGCATTCTATGGTATTAGAATATGACCTGATTAAAGATTAGTTAATCCTCTTTTATGAATTTATTGATCACAAATCACCTTCTTATCTGGTTAAAAAATAACAACAGTATTACTGACGAGTGGCGACATATTATTGTCATAATATAAGTTCAGTAATATTTAATACATTTTCCAAATTACATTAATTTGAAAGTCACAAGAGAAAAGTTGCATGTTATTAATGACATACATGTACATAGCCCTGTATGTTAAATGAATGTGGAAGTAAGGTTGAAGATATAAACAGAAAGAACAGACAAAAAGAAGGATAAACAGTAAACGAGAAACAACTTTTGAGATGCCATCGGTGACATGGTACCAGCTTTCTGAATACCTTGGTTAGTTTCTGTCGGCGTTCCTCGTCTACTCCAAGACAGGCAGCACAGAAAATAGGGATGACCACTCTCTCCAGCGCATGCTTTAGCTCCTCAACGCTCTTCCTCTGACTGAATGAACAATACTGGGCATAAACAACCTCAAAACTGACCGAAATATCAATACTTTTTTTCTTTTCTTTTATTTCCATCATTTCAAATACAAAGTATACATGGAACATGTTACATTAAGATCAGCATGGTATATATTCAAATCGCCTTGTTGTACATTCAGTAGTTTGTTTCTCTAGTACATCTGGTAGATCTATATATAATGTTTCTATACAGACAAATTGTCATATTAAATCATATCTTGGTATCAATACTGTACATCAACAATTTTTCCTATGGCTGAAATGGCAATACTTGATATGGACAGATTAACTGGTACTAACACAACTTCATGTTGTCACTGGCAGCTTTGCAAACCATTAAAACAATAGCCATGAATTAGCCAATGAGTATGAAGCAAAATTTATATTTGTCGATGAGTCTGTTAAAAGTAATTTCTTCCTGATCAATATCTGTAAGTTTGAGATACATTATGAATCCTCAGTGAAAATCGTGACACTGAAAGTAATATTCACTCCATGTCTACTTACCAATGATGGAGAAGATCGTTAATCAGATAGATCAAATGCAGCCTCAAACTAAAGGACGCTTCTTTGGAAGTGATTCTGAAAGAAAAAAAGACAAAAAAACCTTATGTTTCTGACATGGATAAGTGACTAAATGTTTCTTTTACTGTAGTTTGCAATATTTCAGTTGTACAATGTCCTGGTTGGTTGTTGGTTGGTTTGTTGTTTAACGCCGCACTCAGCAATATTCCAGCTATATGACGGCGGTCTGTAAATAATCGAGTCTGGACAAGACAATCCAGTGATTGATATCATGAACATCGATCCATGCAATTGAGATCGATGACATGCATCAACCAAGTCAGCTAGCCTGACCACCCGATCCGGTTAGTCGCCTTTTACGACAAGCATAGTCAATATGTCCTGGAATCTCCACAAGCAATGGAGACAGGAGACATATTGTGTCTTGGAATCTCCACAAGCAATGGAGACAGGAGACATATTGTGTCCTGGAATCTCCACAAGCAATGGAGACAGGGGACATATTGTGTCCACAAGCAATGGAGACAGGAGACATATTGTGTCCTGGAATCTCCACAAGCAATGGAGACAGCAGACATATTGTGTCCTGGAATCTCCACAAGCAATGGAGACAGCGGACATATTGTGTCCTGGAATCTCCACAAGCAATGGAGACAGGGGACATATTGTGTCCTGGAATCTCCACAAGCAATGGAGACAGCAGACATATTGTGTCCTGGAATCTCCACAAGCAATGGAGACAGCAGACATATTGTGTCCACAAGCAATGGAGACAGCGAACATATTATGTCCTGGAATCTCCACAAGCAATGGAGACAGCGGACATATTGTGTCCTGGAATCTCCACAAGCAATGGAGACAGCAGACATATTTTGTCCTGGAATCTCCACAAGCAATGGAGACAGGAGACATATTGTGTCCTGGAATCTCCACAAGCAATGGAGACAGCAGACATATTGTGTCCTGGAATCTCCACAAGCAATGGAGACAGCAGACATATTGTGTCCTGGAATCTCCACAAGCAATGGAGACAGCAGACATATTGTGTCCTGGAATCTCCACAAGCAATGGAGACAGGAGACATATTGTGTCCTGGAATCTCCACAAGCAATGGAGACAGGAGACATATTGTGTCCTGGAATCTCCACAAGCAATGGAGACAGGGGACATATTGTGTCTTGGAATCTCCACAAGCTATGGAGACAGCAGACATATTGTGTCTTGGAATCTCCACAAGCAATGGAGACAGGAGACATATTGTGTTCTGGAATCTCCACAAGCAATGGAGACAGGGGACATATTGTGTCCTGGAATCTCCACAATCAATGGAGACAGGGGACACATTGTGTCCTGGAATCTCCACAAGCAATGGAGACAGCGGACATATTGTGTCTTGGAATCTCCACAAGCAATGGAGACAGGAGACATATTGTGTTCTGGAATCTCCACAAGCAATGGAGACAGGGGACATATTATGTCCCAGGATCCTGCCGAAACCTATTATCTTGCATTGCAGGCAAGGCATGCTGTGTGATGCAGGCCAACTCCTCACCTCTTGAGCAGGTACTGACTGATCAGGTTGCAATGGTCCTGGGTCACACAGTGCAGCATCAGCCAGTTCTTGCCATGCTGAAACACAAGGACCCAAATGTTAACATGAGAAGAAAATGTAATCATATGTCAAGACCCTGCCCCTTGCGCACCAGGTTGAATGCCCGTGACACATTGGCCAAGAGGTTATCATTATACAATTAACATATATCAGTACAACCACTTATGGAATAGAAATGAAGTATAGCTGTCTTTATTAAAGTTGTACAACCATACCATACCAAAACAATAGGATAGAGTAGAATAGAGGTGACCCACCAGAGTAGAAGAAAGATGACCTACCAGAAAGAGTAGAACAGAGGCTGACTACCCAAGATAGAGCAGAATAGAGGTGACCTACCACTACCAGGATAGAGGGGGATAGGTGGTGTACTAGTCTGGACTGATGACGATTTATAGTGATAGCTCACTGAGATACCATGCTGCAGTTTAACATGAATACCCCACTCAGACACAGTATACTGACTCCGAGCCGACCAGTCCTTGTTTTAGCCCCTTAATCCTGAGTGCCAGACAGGGTAACAACAAGTATCATCTTTTAACGTCTTTTGGTATGACGCGATCAAAGCCCGGACCTTCCGCTCTCCAGGTGGACGCTCTACCACTAGACCATGGAGGCAGTCCAGAGGGGAATATAGGTGACCTACCGGGATAGAATAGAATAGAATAGAGGTGACCTACCGGGATAGAATAGAATAGAATAGAGGTGACCTACCGGGATAGAATAGAATAGAGTTGACCTACCGGGATAGAATAGAATAGAGGTGATTTACCAGGATAGAATAGAATAGAGGTGACCTACCAGGATAGAATAGAATAGAGGTGACCTACCAGGATTGAACAGAGGTGACCTACCAGGATAGAATAGAATAGAGGTGACCTACCGGGATAGAATAGAATAGAGGTGATTTACCGGGATAGAATAGAATAGAATAGAATAGAGGTGATGTACCGGGATAGAATAGAATAGAATAGAGGTGACCTACCAGGATAGAATAGAATAGAATAGAGGTGACCTACCGGGATAGAATAGAATACAGGTGACCTACCAGGATAGAATAGAATAGAGGTGACCTACCAGGATTGAACAGAGGTGACCTACCAGGATAGAATAGAAAAGAGGTGACCTACCGGGATAGAATAGAATAGAGGTGATCTACCGGGATAGAATAGAATAGAGGTGACCTACCAGGATTGAACAGAGGTGACCTACCAGGATAGAATAGAATAGAGGTGATTTACCGGGATAGAATAGAATACAGGTGACCTACCGGGATAGAATAGAATAGAGGTGATCTACCGGGATAGAATAGAATAGAGGTGATCTACCGGGATAGAATAGAATAGAGGTGATCTACCGGGATAGAATAGAATAGAGGTGATCTACCGGGATAGAATAGAATAGAGGTGACCTCCCGGGATAGAATAGAATAGAGGTGATCTACCGGGATAGAATAGAATAGAGGTGATCTACCGGGATAGAATAGAATAGAGGTGACCTACCAGGATAGAGTAGAATAGAGGTGACCTACCGGGATAGAATAGAATAGAGGTGACCTACCAGGATAGAGTAGAATAGAGGTGACCTACCAGGATAGAATCCTTAGTGCAGGAGTCGATGATCGGCTGCACAGTTCGGTCAAGCTCCTCCATCTTTATCTCACACTCCATACACAACTGGTTCAGTTTCTTGTCTCGGGAGTTTGCTATTGCTTCATCAATCTGGTGCTGAGGTAGAAAACAAAGAAATTATCACATTACAATCTAACTATTAGAATGAGTTTCCATATTAAAATAAATAGTAATGATGATGTTACATGAAACTCTGGTACTGAACTTGTTAAGGGTGAGACTTGGGTATTACATCTGTTGGTTAGGGTGGAACTTGGGTACTACATCTGTCTTAAGGGTGAGATTTGGTACTACATCTGTCTTAAGGGTGAGATTTGGTACTATGTTTGTTTTGTTTGGTACTTTACCTGTTGTTGCTGGGTGAGATTGTAACTTTACCTGTTGTTGCTGGGTGAGACCCTGGTACGTTACCTGTTGTTGCTGGGTGAGGCTCTGGTACGTTACCTGTTGTTGCTGGGTGAGACTCTGGTACGTTACCTGTTGTTGCTGGGTGAGACTCTGGTACGTTACCTGTTGTTGCTGGGTGAGACTCTGGTACGTTACCTGTTGTTGCTGGGTGAGACTCTGGTACGTTACCTGTTGTTGCTGGGTGAGACTCTGGTACGTTACCTGTTGTTGCTGGGTGAGGCTCTGGTACGTTACCTGTTGTTGCTGGGTGAGGCTCTAGTACGTTACCTGTTGTTGCTGGGTGAGACCCTGGTACTTTACCTGTTGTTGCTGGGTGAGACCCTGGTACACTACCTGTTGTTGCTGGGTGAGACCCTGGTACACTACCTGTTGTTGCTGGGTGAGGCTCTGGTACGTTACCTGTTGTTGCTGGGTGAGGCTCTGGTACGTTACCTGTTGTTGCTGGGTGAGACTCTGGTACTGTGCTGCCAAGTTGGCCTCGCTCTGCTTCACCTGCTCCGCTGTGTGCGTCTGATGCTGCCGAATCTTTTGTTGTATTGCTGATATCTGCTGCTCCAGTGGCAAAGTCTGTGAGAGTCCTGGACTAGGCCCCATTCCTGGACTCGGCCCCATTCCTGGACTCGGCCCCATTCCCGGATTTGGTCCAGGACTAGGTCCCATTCCAGAGTTTGGGACCATTCCAGGACCAGGTCCCATTCCAGGGTTTGGGCCCAGTCCAGGGTTTGGGCCAAGCCCCGGGTTTGGCCCCATTCCAGGACCAGGTCCCATCCCAGGGTTCGGGCCCATTCCAGGGTTTGGGCCAAGTCCCGGGTTAGGCCCCATTCCTGGGTTTGGGCCAAGTCCCGGGTTCGGGCCCATTCCAGGGTTTGGGCCAAGTCCCGGGTTATGCCCCATTCTAGGGTTAGGCCCCATTCCAGGGTTTGGGCCAAGTCCCGGGTTTGGCCCCATTCCAGGGTTTGGGCCAAGTTCCGGGTTATGCCCCATTCTAGGGTTAGGCCCCATTCCAGGGTTTGGGCCAAGTCCCGGGTTTGGCCCCATTCCAGGGTTTGGGCCAAGTTCCGGGTTCGGGCCCATTCCAGAATTTGGGCCAAGTCCAAGGTTAGGCCCCATTCCAGAATTTGGGCCAAGTCCCGGGTTAGGCCCCATTCCAGGGTTTGGGCCAAGTCCAGGGTTAGGTCCTATTCCTGAAACAGGTCCCATGCCAGGATTTGGTCCCAGTGCTTGACTTTGTGCCAAAGAGGGGTTTTGTGGCAAGGGCTGGTTTTGTGTAAGAACTGGATTCTGTTGCCATGGTGTTGGCTGCAAACCCTGCTGGGATATGACTTGCTGTAATGCTTGTTGCTGCTGGGCTAACTTCTGCTTTTGTTGGTTGAATACTGTAAAAGAGGACAAGAGTGTTACTAGCATCATTAGTCTTTACTTACATTAGTATTTGACCCAATACAATAGCATGTAGATCAACCCAATCTGAAACTTGTAACAATGATTAAACTAAATAAATCAAAACACCAGATATGATAAATGAACAAGTGTTTGAATGAGTGAAAGAGTGTGTGAGTAAGAGAGTGATGCTTATTGACATTGCAGTCAGCACTATTCATGCTATGTCACAGCAAGCTGTTCATAAAACTTTAAGTTACAGGTACAATGTATGAAGCCAATTCTTTTTTTTCCTTTTATTTTTCATTGACATTATCTATTTCACATTAGGTCCAATATTTTACACCAGACCCTACAGGACCATGTGCCTGGTCTAACAGGTCGTGGTGTGTACAGGCCTAGTAGACATTACTTGGGCAGAGCTTCTGATATTCCATCTATCATTACACGGTCCATTTTCTGATGTTTATTAATAATTTGTACATGCAACTCTAGCCCCTTAACATAGTAATTAAATGACGGGGTATAAGAGATTTATTCCCCCATACCCCGCCACAAGCAATACCGGCTGCATGTGGATTTCTCAGAGGCAGAATAAATCCCTTATACCCTGCTTCAAAGCAAAAAGCTGCACGCTTTTTCCGAGTCAATGGAAGTCATGTGACATTGTACAAGTTAACCTCATATCCATCGAGCTGTTTTCTGTCAATTTTGAATTTGTGTAAATTCTTTTACAATGTCACATTAAAACAAGTCGGTAAGATAAATTCGTTGAAGCATGATTGCAAGGGGTACAACATGGTGTTTTATGAGGCCCTTATTAGGTTTCAAAACTAACGAAGTATGCATAAAACCCCATGTACCCAGAATGATTCTGCTACAACTCATAATTGACTCACTCACTCACTACTTGATGTGGGATAATGACACTTGAGTGAGTGAGTGAGTATGGTTTTACGCCGCTTTTAGTAATATTCCAGCAATATCACGGCGGGGAACACCAGAATTTGGCTTCACACATTGTACCCACGTCGGGAATCGAACCCAGGTCTTTGGCGTGACGAGCGAACGCTCTAACCATTAGGCTACCCGACCGCCCCTGAATGACACTTGACACTTGATAAGAGGCAGTTGTCCGGCCTGTTGTGTGTTCCTAAACATTGTCTTCCCAATGATGATATCTGTTTTGTTCCTTCTGTATTGGTGACACAATGAATGTATTCCTAGTATTACTGTAACAAGTATTCCCTAACAACTGACAGTTTGTAACATTTGTCTATGCATCAAAGTACCATGCCAACACATTAGGAATGTACTGGTCCTCGGTTTGCTTGCAGGAAATACCTAATCGCAAAATCAGCTTGAATTCTATAATAAATAGAAGATTTAATGCCGGTTGTCAAATATGTTGCTTTATCATCTGGTGATGATAATAATCCATCAATACTAACCACCCCACTTGAAGAGATAAACAACATATTTGTCAACTACCAAATCTGAGTATTCTCCATATCTTAATACTAACCATACATTTACTTATTCTTTTGCAAAGTTTTGTCTAGAGAAACATGAATGTCTAATGATAAATTAAAACAACCAAGTTTTTTTTATAAAGTACTTTTGTTATCTTTTTCAGTCCTTTGATCAATCATTGAAAAAATACGATTGTATTTCCGTATAGTCCAAGAAACGTCAGTGTTTAGGTGGAGTAGGTGTAGACGGCGACAACTAAACTTGCCAGGACCGGGAAGCTGCCCTGGAGAATTACTTTATGAAAGTGACAACACTGTGGTGTGTTCAGCTCGCCGGCCTCACTTCCGCCACATCTCGCAGGTATTTACTTTTGTTGACACAAACATTTCCTTGATGGATTCAAGCATTCTGCAGTGTGTGTTGTTGTAACAGCCTTAAACAAATAAAGACTTACAACACATGACAGGCAAATCGCAGGATGTACTATTGTGAACAGAAAGGTTGTGCCACAATTAGCAGTTGTGTTGTCCTGCTGTGTGACAAGGCACAAGCATGATATTGCAAGGAATTAATCTAGGCGTTGCCAGGTAAGGGCACCATTCAGCCCCAGGTCTGCAGCAAACGTTCACAATTCACAATTTATTTTTTCCAAATTAAGGTTATTACTTGTGATAATATTTAAATATATTTTTAAAAAGTTACTTTAATTTATTGATACTGGGACCAATAATGTGAAATTAGTTTTATTATATATACTTTTACACTTAGATTGCTAACTACATTTAATATTTGTTTAAAGCAATGTGAGATTTATTTTCACAATTTGCCTGTTACCCCACATAAATCATAACACACATGCCATCCCTTCAATTGGTTAGTTAGCATACTTTGATGTAACATACTGATGGTGCCTGTTGTCACAAACACGAGTTACTTGGGTTGTACGAGGTACAGGGGTTGCCTGTATCAAACACAAGGTACTGCAGTTGTTTGTTACAAACCCGAGGTACTGGAGTTGTGTGTTACAAACACGAGGTAGTGGAGTTGCCTCTTACAAACACGAGGTACAGGGGTTGCCTGTAACAAACACAAGGTACTGGGGTTGTCTCTTACAAACACGAGGTACTGAGGTTGTGTGTTACAAACCCAGATAACACATGCTGCTTCTTACAAACATGATGTACTGACATACTATTGCATTGCCACGCGCATGTGATATATATGTCATAACAATCCCCCTATCTATTTTATCAGTATTACATAATATGCACAAAATCATCTCATCTTTTATCATGGGATTATTATAATAGTTCCTCTTCTATAAGAACAGTATATTTATACAACAATAAATGTGCACATTAAACCATCTTCTCATCTACTATAACCTGACAACTGAAATTTACAATAATCAATAAGCACATTAAACCATCTTCTCATCTACTTAACTGAATTATACAATAATCAATATGCACATTAAACCATCTTCTCATCTACTATAACTGAATTATACAATAAGCAATAAGCACATTAAACGATATTCTCATCTACCATGTCTACTATAACTGAATTATACAATAATCAATAGGCACATTAAACCATCTTCTCATCTACTATAACCTGATAACTGAATTATACAATAATCTATGTGCACATTAAACCATCTTCTCATCTACTATAACTGAATCATACAACAATGAATGTGCACATTAAACCATCTTCTCATCTACTATAACCTGATAACTGAATTATACAATAATCAATATGCACATAAACAATCTTCTCATCTACTATAACTGAATTACACAATAAACAATATGCACATTAAACCATCTTCTCCTCTACTATAACTGCATTGTACAATAATCAATATACAGAACATCTCATTAACTATATAAATATTTCCCAATACTGAATATGCACAGTAAGAGACAGCATGCACAATAGACATGAACTCCAAACACAAAAGGGTGAAAAGGGAGTGGAGGTTTGAACTCCAGTGCAATCTGGGCTCAAATCTGATAACAAACATATCCAAAACTATCAATAAATAGCACATGTGTCGATAACAAGCGCACCTTCAAATCAAATGAAATACACGATTTCCTGCCAAAGGCGTATATGTAATACGACACGATCGTGCCACGAGTTAAATCGTTGTTCCTGCGTCTGTGCAAATATGGGAGGATGTTCAATGCCAAGAGGTGTTGCCCATCGAAAATGACAATAGCAAAAACATTTCCTCAAATCAAATACATCTCAATAATCCATATATTTCAAACAATTCACGTAAATTGCGGCCCTCCCTAGGCACAGCTTGATCGCCAAAACTTTATTGACAAGTATTTTTTAGGCTGTTTACAACACAATTTTCAAGGCGAGAAAGTGGATGTTTAACAAAGCCTGTATTGATAGTGCGCTCTTCCTTGTGTGAAGACATTCACAGGTGTAAGGTCTGCAGCTTCATCCCAGACAGTCATGGCCTGGAATGTCGACACTTCAGTATGTTCGGGATCGGGAGAGCGTATATGTACAAGCCAAAAACATCTAGCCAACTTTTATCAGTAACACATACAAAGTGTTTGCAAAAGGGATTTGGCTTTGCATCTCAAACATCAGATAGTAAAAACACTTGTATAGGATTGTCTAACAGGCCTATAAGAACTTTATGACAAGCTTTTGTTTGTTTGTTTGTTTGTTTGTTTGTTTGTTTGTTTGTTTGTTTGTTGTTTAACGCAGCACTCAGCTATATGACAGCGGTCTGTAAATAATCAAGTCTGGACCAGACAATCCAGTGATTGACATCATGAGCATCAATATCAATGAATATTTAAAGACCAATGTCAAACAGCTGAGATATTGCTGAGCAAGAAACAAACTATGCATACATATGACTAGGAACAAAACTAACTTACTGGAGTTGCCTCCCTTTATTTATTCTGTTAATCCTTCATGCACTTTTTCTTGATCAAGGGACAAGAATAATTGTGGTGGAAATATCTAAAGGATTAAGCTTAACTTGAGAGGAGTCATGTCACAAACAGGATTGAAAGCTGTGAACTGCACCCAAATGTTTAGTGTACCAAGGCCGTAGTTTTTTGAAGGAGGGGGAAGCAAATATTTGTACAACCAAACAGTGAGTAAGTGAGTATGGTTTTACGCTGCTTTTAGCAATACCACGGCGGGGGACACCACAAATGGGCTTCACACATTGTACCTATGGGGAATCGAACCCGGCTTTAACCACTAGACTACCCCACCACAGCCACTTTGATAACAAAAATGACAATGAAATGCTGCTGTCAGATTTTAGAGTTGTCATATTTATAAAGACTCAAACCAGGCCAAGATCAGTTAATTCTTTTTTCATCTCCTATATCCAAAACATTTTTCAGAAGATTACATAGATCTTTTTATACATTTATTTTCATCTACCAACCAATTGTTTCACCACCAAAACAGGCCTCCTCCCCCTACACACCTCAACCCACTCCTTCCCCAAAAGGTTTTGCCTTAGCAACATGCCTTCACTACTTCACTATCACAGCCAAGAATAAAGCCTGCATGCATTGCAGAACCAACTTGCTGGGTTTTGAGAGTGACAAGGAATCCCCCACGAGCTGGCTACCCATCAAACTTATATATGACAGTATCTGCTTACTGGCTTGTTCCGTGGTCACCTTGCACTGATAGTAGTTGAAGAACTCTCCACCAAAGAGGAAGGAAAATCGAGGATTGCCTTTTTGCTTCTGCTTTGTCATGTGTTCAAACTCGGGACCATTTCGGGCGACGAAGTTGGCCAGCTTGTCAATGATGTTTTTCAAATCTAAATCTGGAAGAGGAAAATTGAACATATTACAAAGGTGAAATGTGATGACTTTTCTGTGTTTGCTCGTTTGTTTGTTTCTGACATTACGTCACAATAATAGTCGAATGATGACAACAATGCCGTCCGGCTGACATAAACAATACACTGGTGCGTGTGATGTGATATTTGCACCAGCGCACATACAAATTTTTATTAACTTGGTTATAAAATCAAAGGCAATACACATAACACACAGCCCTAATTTCCAGTAATGGGTATGGTGCTGACAAACCAAAGGATATAATCAGGGTAACCTGGGATTCATGCCCATGGGCATAGGTTTCTGACACACCAAAGGGATGCAACTCTGCACATCAAGTTGCAGCCTTTCAGACAACCAGGCACCCATGCCCTAATATGTCTCTGATAAGTCTCATATAGATCCGTCTTTGTAAAAAAGAGTCACCAATGGTGTTATGCATGCATAACAACTCAGCATGCATTACATGCATGGAGTAAAGCTGATGAATCCAGCTTAGTCTCTAAAACACGCTCATCTATCACGCTAGTATCAGACTTTATCAATGACCATGCTAATAGTCTTATGTGAAGCATATATAATAACAAAAAGCATGCTAAGTGTTTCATGGCAGTGTTAAACAATGATTGTACTGTATTACATTGTTTCTGTTGAGTTTCAGGAGAAGCCCATTGCATTGTATTTGGACAATCATTAGTTGTTAGAATTAACTTAGAAATGTGGTACTATTTAATGTACCTAGATGCTCGAATTATCTGTAAACTTCCGGAATAGCATGGACGGATGTCAAGCATTATAGAAACATGTGGAATCTTCTGTAATTTTCTAGTGACATTAGACTAGTCTGGCACTGTGTGAAAAGTTCTGGAAGCTAATTGGACTATATATAAGAGAAGCGGGCATGTCCCTGTCTCATCTCACATTTCTTCTGACATTACATCAAGGCCTGCTTTCATGTGAAGATCATTTTTCACCTTGGTGTTAAGCCTAGGCTATCTCGGAAGTTTGACCCTGTTGCGGACAGGTGAATATTATTATTATCACTGAACTTTTGGATATATGGTGAGGAAAAACAGGGTTTAACATTATTGCATTTACATAGCGATGTGCATGCATGGGTGTATGTGGGTGTGTGTGACTGCTTGTACTAGTCTGGAGTAATGTCAATTATATAGTGCTAGCCCACTGAGATACAACTCTGAGCTGACCAGTCCTTGTTTTAGCCCCTTAATGCCTGATCTCTGAACATCTTTTGGTATGATGCGGCCGGGGAACGAACCCCCAACCTTCCACTCACGCTCTGCCACTAGACCACAGAGGTGGTGATAAGTAAATCTATTTCATGACTTTTCATGCTTAATATACATGTTGTCATGCATGTGTCACATCACTAAATATTCCCGCAATATCACATCGATGGACACATGGGGATGGGCTTCGCACACTGTGCTCATGCAGGGAATTGAACCTGGGCCTTTGGCATGTTGAGAGAATGCATTAACCACTCAACTACCCCACTCTAACATGACATGTAGCCACACTAAGCCACAAACATTGAATGTAAAATAAGGAGACATATTTTTGTTTTTCAGTTTACAGATTCCACCAACTAAAGCAAAAAGACATACAAGTTTGTATTTTTTTTTAAAGAAAAAGGCAGTATTACATATATTTGCTGTACCATGAGCATCAGGTGTACCTAAGAAATATTAATCTTTAATTGATTAGAAACTCCAACAAAATTTAACTTAACTTTTAAAATATTAATTGATCACATACATTTATACCATGAGAATAAAGCATCTGTGATCTGCAAACATTTATAAAGAAAACAAAGCATGCTCTTAGAGAAGTTTATAATAATATATACATGATGCTGTGAAAATATTCAGAACTTTAGCAGTAATGTCATTAATATTTTACCCCCAAAACTATCCAACATAATCAGTTAAAAAATATGAAATATATTCAGCAACACAAACTCAATATATACTTTCAGTCTACCAAAGCTTATTAGCCTGATTAGCAAGCACACAATCTATAAAGCATAAGATCTAAAAAGACTACTCATGGCGCCAATCGGTAATTACGACTGGCTGAGTCCCCTCCAACCGCCATCATGCGATGCTGCATCACACTCCGCTCCACGTGCTACCTCCCCATCCCTGGAGCATGCAGCCTCAGCACCTTCCACACTTACTTACGCATCTATCCTTTAACAGCGTTAGAAATTGGCACTAGTCCTATAGTCCTTGCCAAACTGCCCAATGGTTAAGGTATCATAAGGACTAGTAGAAATTTTCCATTTTAAGGGTTTTGCTATATGTTATCATTATAAGGACTAGTGGACTAAAACTGTTAGTTTCTACCGCTGCTTAATATTAAGGGTGTGCGGCAGAGCTCCAGATAAGCTTTTGGTGTTGTGAGTATTTTACCCATGCATTTTAAAATCATTGGGTATCAGTAATTCTATCTGGGGATTCAAATTTCTTTTACCCAGTAGTTTTTACACATGTGGGTATTCAAGTTAAATATTTAAAAACACTATTCATCTAGTCCCTGCAAACTGGTGTCGTGTGGGTTCGAGAGCTTCATAGGACTCAAAAATACCACGATACTTCCACAAGAAAGTGTGATGGCAAATGATCATGATGTAACTGTCATTGTGGAGTTTGGCAAGGTTGATGGAATGCCCGTTTATAATTTCAAAATAAGTTACTGATTTGCTAATCGAATACGCAGGGTTACTTCATAATATTTTGATGATACGCACAAGTTTTATTTTTGTAGCTTATCTGTAATGTTTGTTGCGTATTTGATACGCTTGGATTTGATTTTACTGAGTATTTCTGCATTTCTGATGCGTATTTTACGCAGATACGCAGCTTATCTGGAGCTCTGTGTGCGGTATTACCGATACAATGGTATATTGTGGTGCAAATCTTTAGCAATATGTATTGCAATACGTTTGTAAATGTAGCAATATATTGGGGCAAATATAAATAAGTATATTTATGTGTTCCTAATTGATATGGAGATGGAAAATAGTATCTGTCTGAGACAACTTGCCTCTGACAATCTTTTAATCAATTAGCGTGTACACATCACGACTCTCAAGCTCCTCACAGTGATACCCTGTTTGCAGAGCTCTCTATACCAAGAGTATAACTGACTGATGGTATCTGACATTTATACAGGGTATAACTCCTGATTAATTCATGAAAATGTAAATTGGCATTATATTGCAATACGTTTCACAATACAGGTTAAAGTATGGCAATATATTGCAATACAAATTCCTGGTCAATACACAGCCCAATTAAATATGTAAATAGCTTACTGCCCGTGACAATGGCAGCCAAATAATTGTCACAAGAAGAAACAATCTTCAGACAGACACATTTTAACACATAGGGCAAGGTACCGTCTTTTTTACGTTTTCTGGTATGACACGGCCGATGATTGATCCTCAGGCCTAGAGACAGTCCAGATCATGAAATGACAATGTCCCGGGCCATGAACTGATCATGCACTAGATCATGAAATAATAATATCCCAGACCGTGAACTGACAAAGTCCTAGATCATGAACTCATCATGTCCTAGATCATGAAATAATGTCCCAGACCGTGAACTGACAATGTCCCAGACCATGAACTGATAATGTATTAGATCATGAACTGACAACGTCCTAGATCATGAACTGACAACGTCCTAGATCATGAACTGATACTGTCCTAGATCATGAACTGACAATGTCCTACTCCAATACCATGAACTGACAATGTCCTAGATCATGAACTGATAAATTATTGATAATGTCCCTATCACAAACTGATGAAGTCCTACATCATGAGGTGATAATGCACAAGAGCATGAACTGATAATGTACTAAATAATGAACTGATAATGTCCCAGACCATTAACTAATAATGCACTAGATCCTGAACTGATTATCTCCTAGACCATGAACTGATGAAGTCCTAGATCATGAAGTGATAATGCACTAGATCATGAGCTGATGAAGTCCTAGGTCATGAAAGACAATGTCCTAGATCATGAACTAATAATGCACTAGATCATGAAACTGATAGTGTCCTTGCAAGGCACATTAAACATATCTTACTTCAATAAAAACTCCAATTCCATTTGAACTTGTTCAAACAGATAAACGATACTTTGGTTGCTGAGGACAGAGCATCATGAAGTCAAAGGTACTATTTACAATGCTTACCAGATCAATTTATTACACATCAAAATAAAGTTTTCATACAACATATTTATTGCTTTTGCTGCAATATCAACCCAACGTTGACACCATAACCCACATTACAAATTCGGGTCACTCTTTATGAACATGATTAGATCAATCACATACTTGTCAACGTGTGTCTGCCACATCCCCAGGTATGGATATCAATAAGTCTGAATCACACGGAGAGTAACGTGGCTCCAGTGTGGCTCCAGTGTTCGCGTGTAGCACGACTACCTACCATCTTTCAACAGATGGCCTGTATTATGTGCACATCATTAAGTAACGTCAAGTAACCCAGAATTAACAAAGAATGACCTACTGGCCAAATATTCAAGTAGTACAAATAAATTAGGGTACAAATATATCAATAAAAGTATATGCTACTCCAACACTTGTGCTATTTGATATTGAGTGGACAAATATTGATACACAATCTAGAAAAATAACCTTTCTACATCAGCTTCAGCCCCAAAAGTTCAGTCAGTCAGTCAGTGGGACTGGCAACATTGGAAAATTACCACACCAGATAAAATGCTGCCGGTCCAGCATTTGCTGGACTAACGAACAAAAGTTATCAAAGTGTAAACATAAGTAATGTACTGTTTAATGTTTGTTCTCAGATATAACAACAGATTGTCAACTTAGTAACTTTAACTCCCAACCATCAGGCGTTCAACTTTTCAAAATTGACCATCCATCAGCAACGTAGATAATCTTGGAGGGTCAGGCA